CAGATGTTGGATAATTTATGATCGTAATCGAAATAACATTTATTAAATGTATCAACTGTCTTCCTCGCCTTTATGCTGACTGATCTTCAAGGCCTTCTATCGGTAACCAATTTATAAAACAAAGCATTTCAAGAAATAGGTGATTGGTGCTTCTAGCTAAATTGTACATCAGAAAATGCTTCAAAAAGCTTCTTCTTAACGTGCCCTATCAAGTCCCCTTGACGTTGGCGATTAACAAGGCGAAACTGTCTCTGTCTCGAGCTATTCTAAATAGTTGCTCAGCTTTCTTTATTCTTATCCACTCCCTGATATTCTTCAACCTAGAGGCCTGCTTTCTACCAATTCCTCTGCTTCCTTCGTGTCCAAAATAGGCCATCTTTCTACATTTGATGTTATCAAGCAGCTCGCGAGCAGCATTTGCTCTCTCAAGAACTGCCACATTTGTCAGCATAGCCGTCCATGGAATTTTTAGTATACGTCTGTGCAGCCACATCTCAAAGGCCTCCAGACGATTAATGGTGGATATTTTTAATGTCCATGCTTCGACACCGTATAAGAGGACTGACCAAATGTAGCATTTAACCATGCGCTTTCGAAGTTCAAAAACCTACTATACTGATAAATTTGTTTCTTGCTTGAAGTACCTACACTTTTCAGAAATATAGGTTAGATAGTCTGGTCAAAGTTTTGATAGGAGCATGACGAAGTTTAAGGACCGAAGTACATTGAAACAATATATTTCGAATAAACTAACAAAAAGAGGAATAAAGAGATGGGTTAGATCCGACTATGATACAGGTTATACATATGAATAAATATTTACAGTGGAAAATAAATCCAAAAATTTGAAGGTACCTTAGGGGAAACAGTTGTGCACACACTCTCAAGTGCGATAAAAGATGATAATGTCGTTTGAGCTTTCGACAGATTTTTCACGACTGTAAAACTATTTCACGAAGTCAAGTTTCCAGCTATTGGGACTGCCATAAGGACCAAAAAAATATGCCTCTTCTCAATAATAAGTTAGTCAGAGGAGAGTCACATTTGGTTTGCAGCGATGCAGAAATAATTGAAACGAAATGGCAAGACACTAAGGAAGTATTGTCATTGAGTAATTTCCACACACATACCGTAACTACTGTAAAACGTAAAAGACTTAATGGTCCAAAATCAGACGTCTCTTGCCCAGAAGCTATAACTTTTTACAACTACTGTATGGGTGGACTTGACTTAAATAAACAAATGTCTGGATTGTATGATTTAGATAGAAAATCGCTCAAATGGTGGAAAAAACTCTTTTTTAGACTTACAATGGTAGCAGCTGCCAACAGTTGAATTATTTACAACCAACTGAATCGTAAGACAATTCCATTCAAGGATTTTTTACTGACAGTAGGTGAAGATTTAGTAACCGAAGGAAAAAGCTCTACCAAAATTCATGTCCGAAAAATATGTATAGGAAGATCTTCAAAGAGAACGAAGGATATGATAAATGTGGAGGATCATTAGCCAATCATAAAAAAATCTCGTCGTTGTTGTACGGTATGTTCTGTCAAGAAAAAATAAACACGAACACAGATGATATGTCAAATGTGTGAGGTACCGTTATGTAAAGAATTCTTTACTCCTTACCATGTATAAAAATGTTTTGTTATTTATACTGTGAATTATTATTGGTTAAACTAAAAAAAATTGTTTTTAAGGTTTTACTTTCATATAACAAAATGTTGAAATATATTAAAAAATTTCGATACCATTGGGATATATATTCTTCTTCTTCACTGGCTTTACAACTCGGGGTGAGTCTTGGCTTCATCCACTATCGTCCTTTATCCTCTACGATCTTGTGCTTCTATTTCCCATTGTTTTACCTCAATTCTAGATAAATCGACTTCGACATCATCCTTTTATCTTTTTCTCGGTCGGCCTACTGATCTTCTATCATCTGGTCTTTCAAAAAACACTGTCTTTAACACTCTCTCATCCCCTGATCGTACCACGTGCCCTGCTCATCTTATTCTGTTTGCCATGATATGTCTAACTATATTTTCAGTACCATACATAATCAGCAAACTGAATCGTCCCCCAAGAAGGCGTCTTCTCCAATCCCCTGTGAATTCATCTCTTTGAGGGCCAAATATTATTCTGAGAACCTTTCTTTTAAATATGTCATAATTGAGCGGATAATAGACTTGTACAGTGTTAATTTAGATTTTCTTTTTAGGAACTTCGATCTTAATAATGTTGAAAGGGAAAATAATGCTCTATATTCCGCAGATATCCTTGCTGAGACCTCTTTTTCTATGTGGTTATCAGCTGTGATTATCGCTCCCATGTATTTAAACTCCTTTGCTACTTCGAAGTTGTGATCATTAATATTGATTTTCTGCCTAACTCTTGGTGTTGAATTTTTGGTAACTACCATATATTTCGTCGTTTCTTGTACCTCTTGTAGAATGCGTGAATGCATCTATATTATCAGCAAAGGCCAGCAACAGTTTTGATCCTTGATCAGCAAATCCTCCTGTCAACTGAGACGATATTTTACTTATTGCATATTCTAAAGCAAAATTGAACAGTAACGTTGATAAGGGGTTCCCTCCTTGCCTTTTGTCCACAAATTTTCACAAAAACAGCCTACATGGAAATGATACAGAAGGTAAAAAACTCTAAAAGTAAACAGACAAATAAAACGCCGAGTGATTATCAGCGCTTACAAAGATTCGACGTTATGACGATTATAGAAGTAGAAAAATTGATTGTTCCTGTGAAAGAAGATAACGTAATTAAATACTACGTCCATACAGAAGAAATATTTGATACATTGCGCGATCTTCATATTACTATCGGGCATGGTGGTAGAAACCGAATGGAGAAGGAAGTACATTCTAAATTTAAAAATATTACAAGGAAGATGATTGTTATCTATTTAAATTTATGCATGACCTGTCAGAAAAAACATAATGTTCCAAAGAAAGGCTTGGTGTTGAAACCAATATTGAGCAAGGAAATGAATTCAAGATGCCAAGTCGATTTAATCGATATGCAGTCACAAGCCGATGGCTGTTATAAATTTGTGCTTGTTTATCAAGACCATCTTACCAAATTTGTCCAACTTCGACCTCTTACAAGTAAAAGAGCAGAAGAAGTATCGCATGTACTTTTGGATATTTTCACAATATTTGGGACGCCGAGTGTGCTTCATAGTGATAATGGCAGAGAATTCGCTAACCATATTATCAAAGAGCTGTGTAGCATGTGGCCCGAGTTAAAAATGGTACATGGCAAACCCAGGCATTCGCAGAGTCAAGGATCTATAGAAAGGGCCAATCAAGACGTAGAGAATATGCTTAGTTCGTGGCTAGAAGACAACAATACAAGCAAATGGTCTGAAGGCTTACGTTTTGTTCAACTAATGAAAAATAGAGCTCATCACACTGGTATAGGTTGTAGTCCATATGAAGCCATGTTCGGCACAAAGTTGAAAATTGGTTTAAGAAGCTCTCTATCCCAAGAAGTTCTGACTGATGTTAATTCGGAGGAAGACTTAGAGGTCCTGTTCAAAAATCAAGAGGCTGGGCTATCTACAGAACCGGATATAATACAAAATAATAATATAAATGTGGACTCTTCAATAATGTTGACCGAATCAAGTTCCATATCATCTGGCTACACCCTGGACGTTCAAAAAATTGGAGCAATTTTAATTGATGAAAATTCATCTCGTGAATCTAGTCAAGTTCCAGAATTTTTAACAAATGCGGTAGAAACGGCTATTGTAGTTAATTTAGAAAATAATGAAAATCTGGATTCCAATATAGATATTAGAATAAACGATGTAAGAAAGAAAAGAAAATTGGCTTTGACGAATCTAGAACAACAAGCCGAGAAGATGTTAAAATTTTCCAATTCCAAATATCCATCGGCTAAACTAGGTAACACAGTTAGGATACGAGTGCCAGATGTGGACCGAGCTCGTAGTGATCAAAGAAATCTACTAGCTATCGTGACAGAGATAACTGAAAAAAAGCTTTACAAACTAGGCACAAAATATGGCATACTAAATAAGTTATATTCAAGAAACCAGTTTACCGTTTGTAAAGAAAAGTTTATCTCCATAGAAGAGATTCCAGACACTGAGATATCTCTTAGAGAATGCGCAAGAAAATCTTCTAACTGTGGGGGACAAGGATACAGTAGGTGCGGTTGTAAAGGTGGGTGTAAATCCGATAAGTGTAGGTGTCGTAAAGAAAAAAAAATATGTAACTCTAAGTGTCACCATAGTGGAACATGTTTCAACAAATAGTTATGTATTGTAAATCATTCATACAAAATTAATTTCGATGATGTAGCACGCAAAGGTGTATTTTTATTTAAGTGTGTACCTAAGTGTATTTTTATTTAAAATTGAGTTTGATTTAGAAACAAAATCGATTTAATTTCTCACTGGCCGCTTTGTGTGTTACCATCGATTTCGGTCATTAGAAAAAAATGCAAATAAAAACACAGAATTCTTTTTTTGGTTTCCTCAATTACCGTTAATACGTATTATATTTCTTATGTATACTTATTCATTAAATGTACTCATGTGTCATTTCACAGAAGACTGCAAGACTGTTTTCATTAGTATATAAGAAATATTTTAGTTTTTACTACATACTTATTTTATCAAAATAAATATATTTCATATTTAATAAAAATAAAAGTAGTTTTAATCATCCTGTCTAGTAGATGCCAAGCATTATACATAATGCCCGGGCAATGTGATGAATTTAATAGTATTTATTATATTGAATGACAGTATTGGGCATTTTTTATATAGCCCGGGCATTATGAAAAATGACCAATTAATCATATGGTCCATAACAGATACACTAACAATATCCCAACTATTTTTAACGAGTAGTTTGTATCCCAAATATACATTATATTTAAAAACCTTGAAAAGATCTGGAGGTATATAAAAAAATTAAATATAATAAACTATTTTTATATTTTAGGTACATATGTGGTGTATACGGAATATCAACCTAACTACGACGTCAATTCAGAAAATTATTGCAACAGAACCGCGTATCTACTTTGTTTTTGGATATTAACATTTCAGTATACATTATTAGGTATATTTATATTGTTGTCTGCATGTTATTTATTAATGAGAGGAGATTTTAAGAAGTGTTAAAAACATACGTAGGGTAGGTAGGGGAAAAACTCCGTAATCTTTACTATTGTTAATGTAGTGAGAAGTCGAATAAGTATTTTTTAAAAATTAATATGAAGATATCTGGGTAATTTCTTATAAAATATTGGGTCTGTTTATATGCTGCATCTGACTATTAGTTATCCACAAAATTAAACTTTTGTTCAAAAAAGCATTTGCGGGGATTTTCTCCTTGAAATGGGGTAAGTCACGGCGGTGCGGTGCTTTTCCCCTTATCGTGATAAAAGTTTATATACAGGGTGTCCAGAAACTCTCCTGACAAAGGCCGCAGATTCCTCAGATAATTGTGTAAGACGATATAATACAATTCGCCTAGTCCAAAAATGCTTCCCAATGGAGCTAGAGCTCTTTGAAGATGAAGCCTTGTAATTCGTTTGTTTTTAATGATTTCAGAACGCTTTCACTTATAAAAATGAAAACTGGTACCATTATTTATTCTCCAGAGTTGAATCGATTTTATGAATTGCAAATTTCTAGTACCGTTCATAGGCGTCCGTTTTGGGTAGGTCAACGGGTATTTTAACGGATAACTTTTGATTGGATATAGCGTATTTAAGGAATAGAACTACGAAGGACCACCAGCCTGGGGCTGGAATGAAAAACAGATTCAAACACGAACTTATATTTAATACTAAGCTTAAGTAGCAATTTCTGAAATCTGTCCGAAACGGAAACACTGTGTTATGCGATATTTCAACTAAACTTTCCACTTTTCACTGGCGCTATTTTCACTATTATATATAACTAATTACAAGTAGAATTGCGTAGCGGAATGTCGGTTCTATGTTAACACACTACTGGCAACACTGGCGGTTTGAATATCTGAACTGTTTTTATATAAAAACTATACTGCGGATTGAACAAACACTGAGTACTATAAATGATTGACTTATAATCTTAATGAATAGTATTGCGATGCAAACTATTTAGTTATAAATACATATACTATATTAATAAGCGAATTTGCGAGCTAGCGACTTTAGCTTACGAGATTTTGCGGCCGACTGTGTTAACAGCTTGGTTTGAACTGACTGATGATATCTAAATCTGTCTAAATTATGTAGGCAGGTAGCGCAGGGTTCCTACCCCATAAAGGTACCGTTAAATATCTTCAATTATTTATTCTAAGAAGGCTTTTAGCCTATAGACATGCGAAAAATGAATCTCAAGTGAAATAGAATTTCACCAACTTCTTTTTTATTGAGTTTAATGCGTCGACAACTAATGGTCATTGGCATGGTACAGTGAACTTTTACAGTCATGTACCTAGTGTAGTGTGTGTATAGGTGTAGAGTAATTGTCTTGATACTTAGCAAAGTAGACGTCATTGTCTTTGCTAAGAGACGCAAATTGTATCCGAACGTCTGCGGTCCCTCCGGTGAGTACCGATCGCACAATGATAGAAATTATTTTCATTTATTAATTTTTAATAAACGAAAATTTCTCCACCCAGGTGAGATTCGAACTCACGACCTTTGCTTTCAAAGGTAGGCGCTCTTGCCACTGAGCCACAGAGGGGGTTGGATAACTTTTTTGTCTGTATTTTTTAAGCATTTGTGATACTAGATAATTAAATTTGTACATATTCTAGTACTAAAAGGTACTTTTACTTTAATACTGTAGGATACACCGTTTTCTAGAAAAATCGATTTAAGGTTTTTTTAAGCAGGAAACCTCATTGTTTGTAGCAGTGCTTGTACCTTTGTAAAATGAAAGGATATAAATTTTCGTTGTGTGAGATATTTCTTGTAGAAGATTTTGAAATTGTGAAATACATGACAAATAGACTTCGAACGCTAATTTCTAAATTGTCTTAAACTTCTATTAAAGTGACATCTTGATGTGCTGTTATATCATTTTGTCGCTGTTTCATTATTTTTTGGGAACACTGAACTTGTTTCTCTTAGCCGGAAAATTTTTTAGCGTATCTACTTTACTGCTCGAGCGTTATACCTCAGTTCGCAATAAACTAAATGTATATCAGCGTATTCCTCGTTAGTAAAAACCATTTTTATTGAATTGAAATTATTGTTTGAATGCCCCAAAGTAAAAACTAAAAGAGAAACTTCTGTTAGATAGGTTATAGTTCTGTTGACAGTTCAAAGCCTACTAGTGCAAAAAATATTAATTTAGCTTTCATGACGAAACAACGAAAAATTTTCAAATCTATTTTTCTCAAAATTGGTGTATCCTACCGATAAAGTACCTAGGAGTACCTTTTAGTACTAGAATATGTGCAAATTTAATAATCTAGTGTCACAAATGCTTAAAAGTTACAGATAAAAAAGTTATGCGTTGAAATTCCCGTTGACCTACTCAAAACGGACACCTATGAACGGTACTAGAAATTCGCAATTAAAGGAATCGATTAAACCCTGTCAGGAATTTCGTTTGTCAGGGGAGTTTCTGAAAACCCTGTATGTATAAATAGTTCAGTGAAAATGAAAATAATCGGCATCGGATTCCCAAGATAATTGTTCTTTGGAGTTTTTATTTGTCTTTTTTGGGACCATAGATAGTAGAAAAAAAGTTTTATTTACTTTCTTTGTCAGACGCTATTATCCTTACAAAGCTCTTGTTACCTTTTCAGCTAGTTGTTTATTATTTTCAGCTTCTTTCTTTTCCAAATACTCTTTAGTAATTATTGAAGTCAGCAACTGTGACTTCAATTCTGTTTTAATACGCTTTCTCTAATTTTTTTTGAAGTAGAGGAATTATATCTTTGGGAGTTAATACGTGAATTTGAGAAGTAAAATCATCTCCCCTCGTAAAGGATGTAATTTCATGTTGGGACTTCTACGTGATACTTAAATGCCCCCTCTTGAGTGTTAAGTTTAACTTGCCAGTGTAGTCACTGGTAGGTAGTCACAAAATGCATTAGAATCTTCTTTACGGGTACTTTCAGGTACTTTTCAGGAATTACACTCACACCGGCATTGGCGCTGGCACTTTCTGCAAAATCAGGGTTGTTATAGTAGGCAATATTTTCAACCAAACTGTTCTACGGACGCACCATCACTATTTAATATAATTAAATTACAGCAAACAGCACTCTACACTCTACTAACGAACTGCTACATCACTATTCAAAATAATTAAATTACGGCAAACAACACTTTAAACTCTCCTAACGAACTGCTTCCCAACTAAATATATAGATCGGTTTAAAACGTTGTCCTACGTCTTCCGATACCCAGTTGCGACTCCTCTAGATTCATCCATAAGTCTTCTTCTATGTCTCTGTCTTTCATTTCTCTATTGATGCCTTCTCTCCAACTAAGGCGGGGTCTTTCTCTTTTTTTTTTCTACCGTGAGAGGTCCACATTAAGACTTGTTTTGGGAGACGTTCTTCAGACATTCTGTGTACATGACCGTACCATCTGAAATGTTGGGTACCAATATCGTTTACTATTGTATGTTTTACTTTCATAATTTCTCTTATTCTGTTGTTCATTACTCTTTCTAGCCTATATTTTCCAACTGAAGTTTTCTCTTGTATCTTTCCTTTATTTGCCATACTTCACTACTGTAGGTAATTATACTTTTAATGATTGTGTTATATATCTTGTGTTTGTTATTTTGTTATTATTAGAGATTGATTGATCCTAAAAGATACTATTGAGAAGGGAAATTGCTTTTCTTGCTTGGTTGTTTTTCTCCTCAATTGTGTCGTCTTCGTTGTGTGACGTTGCCTTCTTTTGTGATGATCATACCTAATTATTTATATTTGTTGCAACGTTTGATAACTTCTCCATCTTCCAATATGAGGTCCTGTTATTTCCCGCCGATACACATATACTCGGTTTTTTGGATATTGATTTCAAGTTCCCATTTTTTATACTCGATTAATTTTCGAGTCATATACTCAATATCTTCATAATATTGTGCTATCACTAGTTGATCATCTACAAATGACAAATTGTATATGCTATTGTTGTTAATCGGCATTCCCATATTTCTACATTTGCGCTTCCACAGTTTTAGAGCCTGTTCTAGATAAATTTTAAATAATGTCGTGGAGAGACAGCAGCCCTTCTTAAGGTTTTTATTTATTTGGAATCCACTTGACAGATTATTTCTAACCTTTACCTCTGAGTTAGCATTAGTGTACAGTTCCTTCGTCGCATTTATTAAATTCATCCTTATGTTTGTTTTCTCTAACACTTCCCATAATTTATAATGTGATACCCTATCATGAGCCTTTCGTAGGTCTACTTACAATAAATGTACTTCTTGATTAATGGCTATTTTCTTTTTAATAATTTGTGTAATGCAAAACAAAGGGTCAACAGTAGATCTACCTGCCCTAAATCATCTCTGTTCATCAGCCTCTAAGTCTTTTTATTCGCTTTCTATTCTGTTTTTAATTATTTTCCCGTATATTCTGCTGACCGAGTTTGTTACGACAATGCCTCTGTAATTGTCTCATTCATCTCTTCTGCCTTTTTTGTGTATAGTATATATGAATGATGTCTTCCACTCCTCTGGGGTTGTCATTCCATTAATGCAGTTTTGGAAAGGTTTGGCAAAAACGTGCATATAGTTTGGTTGTACTGTGTTTAATTAACTTTGCAGGGTGTTACCTGGACCCAGTGCTTTGTTAGTTTTTAGAGATCTACATACATCTTCCACTTCTTTCATTGTTATTCTTATAGACGAAGTTAAAATATTTATATTTTGTGTTTCGTTGCTGTCTTTAAATTTTGGTCTATCTTCCCTTAGGAGTTTCTCAAAATATTGGTCCCAGTCATCCATTGTTATTGTTGACACTATGTCTCTCTTTTTATCTTGTCCCAACTAAAACGCTTACCAAACTACCAAAGTAGATGGTCGCATTTAAAGTGTTCCGCTATATCTATATGTTACCGCGACTATACCAACGGACACGACGGCGCTATTTTAGTTATTATAAAAGAAGAAAAACTGAACTTAGAAGTGAAGTAGAAAAATATACTAAGGGTTTTTCATAACTTCCTCCTTTAGCATGAATCTAATCAATAATAGGATTGCTTGGCATTAGTTGTATTTAGCGTGGGTGAATATGTGTAATAGTGTTATTTACACAGTTATCTAGTATTTTAGTAAGTAATAAATTAAAAAAATTTGCAAATATGTATCTCACAATTGTGGATCTGAGTTTTGTACGCATTAAATGACTTTTGAGTTTTGTGCAATTTTTGAGACCCATAGTATAACTGGTACAGACTGGTATGGTTCTCTCTCATACGTACTAAACTATTAAATATAATACTAACTTACCTTATTCAACTTGTTTATATCTGCATACCATTTGTCGCAAAAAAAGATGAAATGTTCATATTCCGAATTGAAAATAAGTAATTTGATTTTAGAATTAAGTCTTTGTGTAAGAGAAATATATTTAATATTGTAAATAAGATATATTTTTGTAACCAAATAAAGGCAATTTTTACTTAATGTGTAGATGACTGTTATTGTTTACAACAAATAAATTAGATTGTTAAATTTTACAAAAAAATATGTAGGTACATATTTTACTAAACAAATACTTAAGTCATAATCGGAGTATATGCCCTCAACGATGACAGCGCAGGAAAAGAAAAAGATTAGATCAAGACTTTAATGCAAGAACCAGAAGAAAGGATAGTAACAAAATAGTAGGCCCATGGGGAGAAAAAGAATATGTAATGGTTTCTTTAGACATAAAGAGATACATAAATATACATAATAAAAGACTACTATCTTACTACTATCTTACATCAGCAACTTTACATAAAGGCACAGTATGGCGGAATCTAAAGGACTCTCCAGCTCTGCATAAACCCTTTATACAGAAATAACAGTCTACGGTTTTTGAAGGACACGATCTCCTCATATTAATGCAACACACGGTAATTCGTACGCCGGTCTCTCGGAAGAAAATCAAACATGCTTCTGACAATCTTCCAATCCACATTTTCTAGTGCATGGCCCCTCTTGCGTAAGGCCAAATTCTTGATGTCATAATTGCACACGATTTTCTTCAAATTAGTCACAGCATGCTATATTATATCCTCGTAGCTGGCCCTGTTTGTATACGACTTCCTAGTCATCATATACAGCAAAGATCGAGGACCATCTTCTAATCTCAGTAGTCTTCCAACTTTAGGCTGATTTTTTAACTCATCCAAACGACCGAACTTTTTATAAAATACGGATGAGATTCCTTTAGTCATCTCAAGATCTTTGATAACACAGTGGGCTAGAGAAACGTTATGCGGAACACTAAAAAGATTTTGCTGAACTTATGTGGTCACGCTGAATCTAGCACCCGTTCTCTCTGCGTAATTTGACACAAATGCATTAAAGCTTGGTCGCCAGTCATCTTTGATCTCATGTTAAAGGCTTCTATGGTTCATTTGAGCCAACATAACGCGCAAGATGATTTATATGAACTACTTTTGGTTTCTTCTTCTTCTTAATATGCCGTGCATTTCTGCGTAGGCGTCCACGTACATTGTCTTGTCAGGTGAGATGTTAAATAGTCAGGATTAAATAGTTCTGTTTTTAGCAGCATTGCGAAGCATTTCATAGTTGTGGATTCCTGTCCGTTGTCGAATACTGCGCAGCCATGACATTTTTTACGTCCCAGACCTCTCTCAGAATTTTGGTTTACCTTTCAGCAACTTGTTAATTCGGTATATTACGTCATTTATTCTCTTCTTAATGTTATATGGACCTTCCTACTGTCTTTGCAATTTAGGAGACAAGCCTCGACGACGTTGTGGATTATAAAGCCAAACAAGATCACCTACTTCATAGCTTTCATTCTTGCATCGAGAATCATATTGATTTTTCATTGTCACTGGCTAACTGGATGTGTTGTCGGGTAAGAATGAATGTTGTTCATTCTTAACTTCAGGCGGTCGACATAATCTTCGCTTGCAACACGTTCTTCGGAAGGTCTGCAGCCAAACTCTAGGTTGCAGGGCAAACGAACTTCACGACCTAACATCAGACAGGTTAGAGTGTGGCCTGTAGTTTCATTCACGGCCGAAGGTAGGCCATTAGGAATAAATGAATGTGCTGGTCCCAATCTCTTTGATGTTCTGATACAACTTTGGACAGATGTTTGCCCATCGTTCGGTTTATCCTCTCGACCATTTCATCTGATTGAGGATGCAGGAATGTCGTTCTGGTCTTATTGACACCAATAAAATTACAAATGTTTTGGAACAGGGTTGACTCAAATTTTCGCCCTTGGTCGGAGTGGATCTGCAAGTAAACACCAAATCGGCTGAAGAATTCTTTAACCAGTACCTCTGCAACGGTAGCAGCTTCTTGATTTGACCTCAGTCCATTTCGTAAAATAATCCATAGCTACCAGGATATATTTATTTTCATTATTCGTCTATGCAAGTGGACCTGCAATGTCGATTGCTACTCTTTCCATAAGACTACCAGCATTGTACTGTTTCATGGGTGCCCTCTTTTTACCAACTGGACCATTACTGGTGGCACACAGTTCACATTTCCGGAACACTAAAAAGATTTTGCTGAACTTATGTGGTCACGCTGAATCTAGCACCCGTTCTCTCTGCGTAATTTGACACAAATGCATTAAAGCTTGGTCGCCAGTCATCTTTGATCTCATGTTAAAGGCTTCTATGGTTCATTTGAGCCAACATAACGCGCAAGATGATTTATATGAACTACTTTTGGTTTCTTCTTCTTCTTAAGATGCCGTGCATTTCTGCGTAGGCGTCCACGTACATCGTCTTGTCAGGTGAGATGTTAAATAGTCAGGATTAAATAGTTCTGTTTTTAGCAGCATTGCGAAGCATTTGATAGTTGTGGATTCCTGTCCGTTGTCGAATACTGCGCAGCCATGACATTTTTTACGTCCCAGACCTCTCCCAGAATTTTGGTTTACCTTTCAGCAACTTGTTAATTCGGTATATTACGTCATTTATTCTCTTCTTAATGTTATATGGACCTTCCTACTGTCTTTGCAATTTAGGAGACAAGCCTCGACGACGTTGTGGATTATAAAGCCAAACAAGATCACCTACTTCATAGCTTTCATTCTTGCATCGAGAATCATATTGATTTTTCATTGTCACTGGCTAACTGGATGTGTTGTCGGGTAAGAATGAATGTTGTTCATTCTTAACTTCAGGCGGTCGACATAATCTTCGCTTGCAACACGTTCTTCGGAAGGTCTGCAGCCAAACTCTAGGTTGCAGGGCAAACGAACTTCACGACCTAACATCAGACAGGTTAGAGTGTGGCCTGTAGTTTCATTCACGGCCGAAGGTAGGCCATTAGGAATAAATGAATGTGCTGGTCCCAATCTCTTTGATGTTCTGATACAACTTTGGACAGATGTTTGCCCATCGTTCGGTTTATCCTCTCGACCATTTCATCTGATTGAGGATGCAGGAATGTCGTTCTGGTCTTATTGACACCAATAAAATTACAAATGTTTTGGAACAGGGTTGACTCAAATTTTCGCCCTTGGTCGGAGTGGATCTGCAAGTAAACACCAAATCGGCTGAAGAATTCTTTAACCAGTACCTCTGCAACGGTAGCAGCTTCTTGATTTGACCTCAGTCCATTTCGTAAAATAATCCATAGCTACCAGGATATATTTATTTTCATTATTCGTCTATGCAAGTGGACCTGCAATGTCGATTGCTACTCTTTCCATAAGACTACCAGCATTGTACTGTTTCATGGGTGCCCTCTTTTTACCAACTGGACCATTACTGGTAGCACACAGTTCACATTTCCGGCACCATCTTTACAGTTCACCCAATAGAACCGTTCTCTAACCTTTTGCAGAGTCTTCGTAATACCAAAGTGTCCACCTGATGCACCGGCATGCAACTGACGCAATTTCTGACATTTTACTTTTAGGTACAATTAAATGAAGCTTAGATTCTGTACCATCATCGTTCTCAAAGTTTCTACACAGAAGATCATCTTTTAGTACTAGGTAGTTCCATCAGCTCCAGTAAGACTAAGGTCTTTCACTTTGACTCATCCAATCCCTCTTTTTATACATGGATCATATGGTTGAGCATCTTGTAGCTTTTGTGTCTGCCATTGATCATTAACGACGGTGGTTCGTCTCACTGGGCAAAGTCGTTCTTCTAGTTTAACACAGTGATTACAATTTGCACTACATGGCCGTCTTGACTGAGCAGCAGCATTTAAATGACTTTCCAGCCCGATGTTCGATATGTTCTAGCTTTCTGATTGCTGTATTATTTTCTTGCAATTTATGACGAATGTGACCTACGTCGCCACCATTCCAACATCTGGTTTCGCGTCTCTTCGGCATCGTGTTACGAACTACTTTCCGTACGATTTCCAAACGTTTATTGGTTTGTTCGTCGCTTTCTTCAGAGGTTCGTACTCAATAACTCCGTGAAGCTCAACTAGCTGTTTCATGTTCCAAGGCAATGGCGAGCGCTTCATTTAGAACTTTCGGTCTTGCTAGTCATAAAGCTTTCTGTAATTTATTGTCTTTCAACCCATTGACGAAGATATCTAGAGCAATTTCTCCCAAAATGTTGTCTGGTGCCTCTGGATAAGCTAACCGCATTATTCCAGCAACATCTGCTTCAAACTCTTGCAAATTTTCACTTGCTCGTTGAATTCTACTTTTTAGTTGTACGTACGACGCATCGGAGATGGGCTATTTCGTAACAATATTATAAGATTTTTAATTGGGTAAATACGATATTAATTTTTTATACGTACTCTTAAGAATATTCTCTAAAGATGATTTTATAATAAAATTGTTACGGCACCACACACTCGATCGAAAACTTCAGTTCGACAGTTAAAGTGTTAACGTATTAAAGAAGTAAAATCTATTGAAAAGGGAGTATTTGTAGATCTTAGTGCACTGCGAAATGTTTTTCATAATGTCTCATTTTATCCAAGAATTAGCGGTATCCATAAGAGATTTTAGTTTATTAATTTTGTTTAATAAAACATTTTGAATTGTAAATTGTGTTTTATTATTAACTCCATTCATAGTAAGATTAGTATAATTATAATCCTATAAGAGAAGATAGCATACAATCTCCAGACTTTACTGACATTTATTTAGTTACTAGATAGAAAATAATTGAAAATTAAGTAAAATATTTGTTACTACAAGATGTGTTCTTACTATTTCAAAATAAAATTCTTATTAATAAATATAAACATTATGCTTATTCCAATTTTTTATCTATCTACATGCAAGATAAACTTGTTTTTCGATGGGATTCTTGGAATGTACTCTATCCCTATCTCGTGTTTATAAAAACTTGGATTGTCCTGCTGAAAATCGAGTATCTAAAAGTTGGGCTTTTTTCAGTACTGCCTTTTTTTGAGCCTCATCGAAACGATTAACCTGAAGATCTACCTCACGACTAAATGGGCGCCTTTCGGCTGGTCCTGAGTCATCCTAAAAAATAAATGACACGAATTACTTTACTTATTTGGAATAAACAAACTGAAAATAAAAAGAAACTAAAATTAAAACCAACAATTGTTTATTTTTAAAATTTTCATTTAAAAGTAATGTCAGATATAAATAAGGAAAAACAGAAACTAATTAAACAAACAATAAAGGTGGCTAAAGAAAAATGGATGGAGGATAAATGCAAGGAATTAGAAAAGTTGAATGAAAAACATGATACGTTTGATATGTTTAAAAAAGTTAGAGAAGTAGCTGGTCTTTATCATAAGAAAACTCCACATACTATAACCGATTCGTCGGGAAAAATGATAATAGACGAACATGAAATTCAAACAACCTGGTGTAATTATATAAGTGAACTGTATAATGATGATAGACCCGAAGAACCGGAGACTTTAGTTGAAGGTGAAGGACCAGAAATACTAAAATCAGAAATACTGCATGCTATAAAGTTAGCAAAGAACAAGAAAGCCGTTGGCCCTGATAACATACCGACAGAGATGTTAAAGCTTATAAATGAGGAGAACATTGGAATACTGGTCAAACTTTTCGATGATGTTTATTCGACTGGTGATATCCCTTTAGCCACAGCTAAAGAGGTGTTGGGCATGGAAGGTAAAGAAAGAAGAACAAGAACGAATCACTGGTTTGACGAAGAATGTCAAACTATAACAGAAAGAAAAAACAGAGCATATCTACAGATTCAACAGAGGCACAGAACCCGACAAGCAGAGGAAGAATATAAACAACTACGTAAAGAAGAAAAGAAAATTCACCAAAGAAAGAAGAGAGAATATATCAACAAAGAACTTCAAGAACTAGAAGAACTAAGTAAAGCAACAGAGACAAGAAAATTTTACCAGAAACTCAACAAAAGCAGAAAAGAGTTCAAACCGAGAACAACGATGTGTAAAGATAAGGAGGGTAATATATTGACAGAACAGCAAGAGATACTTAGAAGATGGACAGAACATTTTAAGGAAAAGCTTGGGGTGAATAGGACGGAGATGAACCCTGATATACCATTAGACCAAGCAGACAACAGAGAAAAGAGTCCACCAACAATAGCAGAGATTAGAACAGCAGTGGACAAATTAAAGAACAATAAATCACCGGGATCGGATCAAATATCATCGGAGCTACTGAAAGAAGGAGGAGACGCATTACTTAAAGCCATACATGAGCTGATAAGAAAGATATGGTTGAATAAACAGCTACCAAAGGAGTGGAATAGCGGCATTATTGTACCACTACATAAAAAAGGAAACCAGTTAGAATGTGAAAACTACCGTGGAATCACGCTGTTGAATGCGGCATACAAAATAATGTCCAACGTAATGTATGAAAGACTTAGACCATACGCTGAAAAAATAGTTGGCAAATACCAATGTGGCTTTTGTAGACAGAAGTCAACAATAGACCAGATATTTGTTCTGCGACAGATCCTTGAAAAAACAAGTGAATATAACATCGACACACATGATCTCTTCATAGACCTCGAAAGCGCATATGACAATATAAAACGAGAATTCCTAACAAAAGCAATGAAAGAATTTAATATACCAACACAGCTAATAGAATTGATAAAAGAAACACTAAAAGTAGAAAGTAAAATCCGGATACAAAACGAATTAACGGAAACAATAGATGTGAAGAAGGGACTACGCCAGGGAGACGCTCTATCATGCATATTATTCAACATCATACTTGAAAAAATAATAAGAGACACAACAGTTAATACCCGAGGAACAATAATTAATAAAAGCGTGCAAGTACTAGCATTTGCAGATGATGTTGACATAATCGCAAGATCAAGAAGAGAAATGATAGAGGCATTCACTCAAATAGAACGAGCTGCAAAAAATAGTGGTCTTAAACTCAATCAGACAAAAACAAAATATATGCCTGCAAATAAAAACGCACAAATAAGGCAGCTGCCAAATTTAACAATAGGAAAATACAACATTGAGGCGGTAAAAAACTTTACATACTTAGGATCCCTAGTTACGTCTGATAACAACGTTGCAGAGGAAGTGAAGAGGAGAATATTTATTGCCAATAAATGTTACCATGGCTTAATTAGGCAACTAAGATCAGATAACGTCTCCAGAAAAACAAAATGCCAAATATACAAAACCTTAATAAGACCGGTACTCACATACGGTTCAGAAACCTGGACACTCTCTAAAAGGGAGGAAACGTTATTAGCCACCTTTGAAAGAAAAATCTTGCGACACATATAAGGGCACAAAAGAAAACGGGATTTGGCGGAGAAAGTATAACTTTGAACTATACAACATATACCAGGATCCGGATATCATAACATTCATTAAAATAGGAAGGCTACGTTGGATTGGACATGTGGAAAGAATGGAAGAAGGCGAAATACCAAACAAAATATTCAAACAAGTGCCAGTAGGAAAAAGAACAAGAGGAAGACCGAAGCTGAGATACGTAGAACAAATAGAAAATGATATAACAACATTAAAAATTAAAAACTGGAAAAAAAAGCACGAAACAGGTCAGAATGGAGAAGAATCCTTGAACAGGCCAAGACCCAAAAAGGGTTGTCGAGCCAGTGATGATGATGATGATATCCCTGAAGATTGGTTAAAGTCCGAATTCATAACACTACCAAAAAAACAACGTCCGAAAAACTGTAGCGATTATAGAATGATAAGCCTTATGAGCCACACTTTGAAAATATTTCGCATATACGCATCATCCAGAGTATAATCAGAGATAAATGTGAAGAAGACCAGGATGAAACACAATTTGGCTTCAGAAATGGACTGGGAACTCGGGACGCCCTCTTTGCACTAAATGTATTACTGCAGAAATGTCGAGATCAAAGGAAAGACGTCTTTGCTGTATTTATTGACTATGAAAAGGCCTTTGATCGAGTACAGCATCACAAATTAATTTCAATATTAAAAGATAAAGGAGTTGATAGTCAAGACATACGATTCATAGAAAACTTATACTGGCGTCAAACAGCGACAGCTTGCATAAACGGAAAATCAACAGAAATATGTAAAATACAAAGAGGTGTCAGACAGGATTGTATACTATCCCCACTGTTATTTAATTTATATTCAGATAGAATATTTAAAGAAGCGCTGCATAATTTGGAATGGGGCGTGAAAGTTAATGGAATTCTGATAAATACAATCAGATATGCAGACGATACAGTTATTTTAAGTGATGACATGAATGGATTACAATGCCTTTTAAATGCCATTAATACAGTGGGAAGAGAGTTTGGCCTAAACATAAACTGTTCAAAAACAAAACACATGGTGTTTAGCCGTTTAGCACATCAAGATGCACGATTATATGTTGATGGTCATATAATTCAAAGAGTGTCCAGTTTTAAATATCTTGGTTGCCTCGGTGTCGAAGCATGGACATTAAAAATATCCACCATTAATCGTCTGGAGGCCTTTGAAATGTGGCTGCACAGACGTATACTAAAAATTCCATGGACGGCTATGCTGACAAATGTGGCAGTCCTTGAGAGAGCAAATGCTGCTCGCGAGCTGCTTGATAACATCAAATGTAGAAAGATGGCCTATTTTGGACACGTAGTAAGGGAAGACCGATATAATATTCTTCAACTTATTATGATGGGTAAAATCGAAGGACGCAGAGGAATTGGTAGAAAGCAGGTCTGTTGGTTGAAGAATATCAGAGAGTGGACAGGAATAAAGAAAGCTGAGCAACTCTTTAGAATAGCTCGAGACAGAGACAGTTTCGCCATGTTAATCGCCAACGTCAAGGGGACTTGATAGGGCACGTTAAGAAGAAGAAGTAATGTCAATTGTATATTACTTGGTGATTTTAATTTGGATTTTTTAAGTACTAGCTTCTACACCCAGAAAATTAAAGCAATGTTTTTACAATGTGACATTAAGCAGTTAGTAACGGAACCTACTAGAATTACGAATTTTAGTGAAACCTTAATTGATTATGTTCTTGTTAATAATGATCTAGTTAGTTGCTTAAAAAAAATATATCAAATCCAAATAAATTTACTTTCTTGTGATTGGGATTTAGATTACCCCTAGTATAGATTTAGTATAGTTGTCTATTGCTATATTATTTTCATTCTCAGGTGTTTTGATGGTCATGTCCTTAGTTGTTATTTCGTTTATTTTAAGCCTTAATCCCTTAACCCTTTCGCTGCGGACGCCGCACATGTGTGGCGTAGCGAAGTTGAGCCATATGCGGACGACGCACATGTGCGGCGTCGTTACACTTAAATTATAATCATATTTTCTGAAAGTAGCATAGCGTATAAGTTTACAGAATTTTATCAGCATATTGCTAGATATTCAGCCTAATATTGGGCAACTTTCGTTTCTAGTTTTGATTTTTATTTTACACTCTAGATGCCGTCCCGTTTTACGAATGTAAGAATTGAGTATTTAATGTTTTTTTTTTTTTTTCATTATAACCTTATTTTTGTCGATAGAAAAACGTGTTATATACTCTAGTGTGTAAACATTATATTAAAATGACAGATTTAAGTAAACCTCGACCTTCTCTTACAAAAATACGTAAGATTATACAAGTGAAAAATCCTAATAAGTTAACAGTGGAAAACATTACGTTGGTATAAAAAAATAAGTTTGCATATCATTCAGTTATTACTTATTAATTCTCCTATCCTATATGACAAATTTTATGGCGAAAAAAAAACACAGCAAGTTTAGACACGAGATCTTAGAAAATTTATTATCAGAAGTTCCATCTACAGGAAAAGGCAGGATACAAAATGTTAAACATACACCTTCAAAAATTGATGTCATCAATGAATGCAGTAAAACTTTAAAAGAAAAAGATGCTGAATGTATTCTATCAAAAAGATAGTATCTACCATTGTTTAGAATGTGAAGGAAAACCAGGACTTTGCCTAGAAGTATGTTTTCAGGAGTACCATAGAAAATAATAGACTCCATATTTTGTGAAATCTATTTTTGTTATTTTTATTTGTTGCAAATAAACATTAAACTTTCCCTAAAATGGTTTTCAATCATTTCGTGAAGGCCCATATAAGTGGCTTCCGAATATTTCAATAAAATCATTCACATATGCGGATGACGCGCATGTGCGTCTAGAAAAAAATATTATGCAAACTTACAAATATGGTTTTATAGAGTTTTAATACCATAAAAAAGTGAGCCGTACACACGATACCTATTAGTAATTTTTGCCGCAGCGAAAGGGTTAAGTGCTTCAGGATCAATTTCCTTGAACGTTTCCATTAGTCGTATCTTGCTTTTACTAATAATGGCAACACCGTCTGCATATGCAGTAATTTGTATTATTTTGATATTTATATGGCCGGTTTCATTGGTTTTTCTGATGACTGCTTCCAGAACTAGGTTGAACAGCATGGTTGAAAGTGCGTCTCCCTGTCTGACCCCCATGTTGATGTCAAACAGGGAAGACAGTTCTCCATCTACTCTAATTGCGGCTTATGAACCCTGCAACGTCATTTTTATGAGGCTCATATATTTTTTTGGTATACCTAGATTTCGCGGGTCTTCCAGCATTTTGTCTCTTTTCACACTATCAAAAGCTTGTTTAAAGTCTATATACATATTAGATAATTCTATATCGTATTCATAAGCTTTCTCTTATATTGTTCTAAGTATGAATATATTGTCTGTAGTGGCTCTATTTAGTCTGAATCCATTTTGATAATCACCAATTATATTTTCGGAGTATTCTGACAATCTAGTGTAGATAATGCCAGAAAGGATTTTGTATATTACATTTAACAATGTAATTGGTCTGTAATTCTGACATTCCCTCTTATCTCCATTTTTATATATTGGGCTGTATAGGACCAACTGCCCATTCATCCGGCATTTGGTCCTTGGTCCATACTAACTTCATCAGGTAATGGATTCTTCCCCAGAGTTCGGGTCCTCCATTTTCAAAAATTATGCCGAAACTCCGTCCGTTCCAGGCGCTTTGCTGTTTTTTAGATTCTTTATTATTTGAACTACTTCTTCATAACTCGGATTTTCAATGTGCTGCTCTGCCGTAAAATATATTGTCTCGTTTTGATCATTTCCCTTGTCTGCATTTAGGTTTTCCTCAAAGTATTCTTTCCATCGCATTATAATTTTTTGTTTCTCTGTAAGTATTTCTCCGTCTTTGTCTTTGCATATTGGCAATTTTGGTCTCAATGACTGTGTGCTTTCTTTTATTCTTTTATAGAATTTTCTGCTCTCGTGTCTGTTGTTATGTTTTAGGATTTCTTGTACTTGTTCTTTCAAAGCCTCTCTTTTTTTCTTCTGCATATTCTAGTCGCTTGTATTCTCTGTTTGCTATAAATTTCTCTACTATTTGTTGTGTTTCTTTGAAGTTCGTTAAGCCTCGCTTGCCTTTTTTCCTCTACTGCAGTTCTGCATTCATCACCATACCATTCCGCATTTCTTTGCCTTTTGGCTTTTTCGACAGTTTCCTCTGTAGATTCCGTTATTATTGTTTTTAATTGTCTCCATTCTTCCTCTGCAGTATCTTCCTCTCTGATTCCATTGAGTTTTATTTGGAGAGTATTTTGATATACAGTAAAACCTCCGTTAACCGAAATAATTGGGGGGAATGCCGTTTCGGATAACAAGAATTTCGGTTAAAAATTGTTTTCTTAAACATTTTTAACATTTAGTATTTTTGGTTAAAATATTGGTATTAAAAAATACTATGAGGTGATTTCGTCATGTTTTCTAATAAGTAAATACAGAATAAAGTAATAAAATTAAGGAAAATGAACAAGTTTAACATGATTTTTTAAAGAAATCTTCTATTTTCTTTTACGTTATCGTTTGACAACGATGTTTTGCAGCGATATATCTACATCGTTCATTTGCAGAACGTCGTGAGTTTGCCTCAATTCATCGTTCGACGAAACGTAAAGCAATCTGAAAAGGGCAAAACTTTATACAATGACAACAAAAATTAAGAACCTACTCGTGTCCCTAACTAATTAGGCCTACTGTATAAAATTCTTATCCTTAAGGAATTGAAAATCTCATCGGTGGTCTCATGCTGCCCGTTGTCTGTTGGGTCGTCATCTTCGTCTTCTGATACGCTCAGGTTGTCTGGATGAAGAACCATATCAATGATGACTCAATCGGTCGATGAATTCAATTTCTGAGTAATCGTCTGCTAACCACTCACGTATCTCTTCTTAGTTAATTTCGTCACATCCCGGCAAATTTTTTTTTAAAGGTTTAATTTCTTCTGTCGTTTCTTTATAACCCGACAAGCGAGAGCTGGCGGGTTGCGCGTAGAACAAATTAAAAAGTGGAAGGAATTGCTCATTTCTATTGCAATCGGCTAGTTGTTCACATCGTGTATAACCGTTTAAGTACCTATACTATATACCTATAATCGCGATTAAGTACCTCTTCTATCTCTCTTAGAATAATTCCTTTTCTATTTTCGCGCAGCTCACCCGCCAGCTCTCGCTTGTCGGATTATACCAGTTTCTTCTTCAGGATCGTCAATCAAAATCCTATCAAAAAGTTGGTTCCAGCATTTTTCCAAAGTTGCTGATCTTGGCCCAGAACTCAGCACACCGATAAACAACATGTTTCTTTGTTGAACAATTGAGGATTTCGGGAACACTTTTGGATTCATTCGTTTCCTGTAATAACAGATGTCTTAAGAATGCTCCTCTATAATGTCTCTCGAATGTTTCTATTACTTCCTGGTCTAACAGCTGAATTAAGCTCGTGACACTCGGTGGTAAAATCTGACAATTATCACTATTGCATAGATTTTGAGGGTGAGTTGGCGCATTGTCAACAAGCAATAATGCTTTGATGGGAAGGTTTTTTTTTATTTTAAAAAGGATTTTACACTTGGGACGAATTCATTTTCGAACCATTCTGAAAATAAAGTGGTAGACATCCATGAGTTTTTTTGGGTTCTATAAAAAACTGGAAGTGCTTTTTCTCAAATATCTTTTAGAGCTCTTGGTTTTTTTTATTTCCCAACACACATAGGCATCAATCAGTAAGTGAAATTAATGGAATTGTTTACATTTTGCGATAAAATATTACTTTTTATTGACGAAATTATTTAAACTGTCAGCCGTTTCGGTTAAACGATGTTTCGGTTAAAAAACTTTCGGTTAAGGGAGGTTTTACTGTACTTAAGTATTTGTTGGACTTTTGAATCCTGTAACATTCCATTTTTTAATTTGGCTATTTTTCCCTTTTGCCACTATCGCGATTTTCTGCCGCAATTTTGCCCCCACAAGATAATGATCTGAGTCAGAATTTGCCCCGCGATACGTTCTGACATTAGTTATGTCTGTTGCCCATCTTTTGAGATGAGGATGTGGTGAATTTGATTGGCTTCATTGGTACCTGGAATCTTCCATGTTACTTTATGGATATCTTTTCTCTGGAAGTTAGTGCTGATAACTACATAATTATTTGTAATTTTGTAATTTTAAACTGTAAATATATTAATTAAGACAGTGTAAAATATACATATTTTACATAAATGTAAAATATCTTGTAAATATCTCCAATTGTAGGTAGAAATACACGTCATATCATAACATTCATACTGATGGGTATATAGAACAACAAAGTTACTATTTTATTACCTTGTCCTTTTTCATTTTTTTCATATGCATATCCACTAAACTTTCTTTGGACCGTTTACTCTTTTTTACTATTGCTTCCTGCTCTTTATCTCTTCTTTTCATTTCCTTTATTTCAGCCTCTTTTTGTAAATCCACTTCTTTTGTTTCCTTTTTTGCTTTCTTTTTCGATCGATCTTCAGGAGTTTCCGTCCACGATGACCTAAAAAATTACATAAATGAAATTACATATTATAAAATATTAACAGACAAAACGTTGATTTAAGCAGAACAATTTTTGTTTATGCGAGAATGAATAATGAAATAATAATATGCGAGAAATAAGTACTTAAATGGTGCATAAAATAAAGACAAATATACACTGAAAGCATAGAATGATAGTATTTTCCTGAGGTTCTGAAACTGAATATTTTGTGGCATGTTTAAGTTATATACTGTTTTCATGTGATTAAACCACAAGTGATTGGAATGCAAATTACATTTTACATTTGTTTTGATATTTCAACTTCCAATCTGGAAATAGTTCTAACTTGACATTAAATTAATAAACATTTTTAAACAATATTGAAATTTTTTATATAAACATTATAGGAAACTAGAAGGTGGCCTGATCCCATCGGGATTCTCGAACGTATAATGTTCTGCTAAAATGCGTTTGTTTTGTCACAAAAAAGATATTCTACGCAGATTCGATGTATTCTTCATTGCTTCCGAGATCTCAGTCTTCCGAGCCCCCAGACACTACTACACTGATTACTAAAGAATACATTACTGGTAGTAGGAACAGCAGACAGTTCATTTATACCGTCGATAGTGAGTTTGGGTAGAGGTTGGAGTGGGTGATAGCGAATGAGGATCTTGCTTCCTTAACTGACACCTCTGCCAAGGGTTCTGATGTATCGTACTGATCTTCATCGTTATTTTTTTCGTTCGTATCTGTCGCAGATAAAATTTCGCCATCGGTTAGTGAACCTGAGATAGCAATATCCACTTCATTAACTTGAACAAAGTCAGAAAAACTCACACCGCTGATGTCAACTAATGGTTCTATTGCTGGTTCTTCATCATCCATGAGTATTGGAAAATTTTCCTTATCTTCTTTTAAGAAACCGGATTTTTTAAAGCAGTTGAGAATTGTTTGAGCAGCATTAATTTTCTCCTGGTGCCTTATTATTATTGAGAGAGTACTCAGAGGAATCTTAAATTCTTTTGCAACATCATTTTTCTTCTCGCCGTCCTCTACTTTTTAGATTAACTTCTTTTTTTTTGAGCAATCATCAAATATTTATACTTTCTAGGGCTCATAACTAACAAAATTTTAATCTGTATACCAACGAAAGAGTAACAGTAACTAATAACTAAACAAAGAAATTTGTTAGAAGTGTATTGGCGAGGAACCGACAATACACTTCAAAGTGGGCGACGCCTGGTGGTAGATTTCAAAAGCATCCACTTCGGGAAAACATTGAAATTGTTTACATATTAGCGACCGGTTTATATTGTAATATACCTACAATGATTTCGACTTCAAAAAAACTATTGCAGTGTTCCTCAATGTTCATCCTATTATAATTCACAAAAAAAATTCCATACATAAGTTTCCGCTGGACGAGAATATGAGAAAAGTTTAGCAATGCATTTTGTGAATTGGCAAACATATAACCAAAGAATATAACTTTCCAAATGTTGATTAAAATATTGTTTATATTTAAATATATTTATACTTAATTTACTTTATAGTAACACCTGAAACTAAATTAAGAAGACTGATCTTGCAACCATATAAATAATTAAGATAATGTAAATTTTACTTCCCGTGTTTCAGATATACTGTAGAAAAACAAACATTTAATTTTATTTTTATTCGGGTTTGGGAAGCAATTACCTTATGTATAAACTTGAATCACAAACAAATAAACTTTGATGAACGTACTCCAACTTTTACTTTGGCAAAACACACGTGTAAATGATACCTTAGAAATCAAATGACAAAATGATTTGTTTTCCCGAAGTTATCGTCCATCTTTAAAATCTTCAGCGCTCCCTGTCGGAATTGGATATCGCGAATAGTCAAATGAATTATTACATATATATTTAATCTATGATTATTACTCATGATAACTTTGAACCAAAGAGAGGTTTGAATTAACGCGAGTCGACTATATGTAAGAGTGATATACGCCCTAAGTCATTATTTAAAGACAATACATATTCTTTATAATAAACCAGGACATATGAAGTATAATATATGTTATTAAGATTAGGACTACTTTTGTGGATATATGGTGCTGGGGTTTTCATTACGGAAACAGAATATTCATATTATAATATTGATATTATTTACCTATCAGACATATCTGGCGCTTCCTTAGCTCTAAATTGCCGAGGTCCTAAACCAAAATGCGCAGCTTTGGCAGCAGGTAGCTCCAACATCCATTCTTCTCTTGTAGGTTCTTTTTCTCCCTTGGGATTCAACATATCAATTTTCATTTGTAAAGCCCTTTCTTCCAACTCAATGTGAGCTTTGGAACCGCTGAAACCAACTGGAACAGGACCATACACATCTTCTTCGTCTGATTGTGACTCAGCTACTTCTGCTAGTTGTTGTCGTAAATGATCAGGTAAAGATGGACCAAAACATTTTGATTCTGGTGTATCTTTTGGTAGATTTTTACTTTGGAGATGAGGAGGTAGAGCAGGACCAATTGATGTTGTATCATTTTGCAATGGTTTTTGTAAGTGAGGAGGTAAACTTGGTCCTAAAGTCTTAGGTAAATTTACACTTTCTTGACTCTTCGTTAAATGAGGAGGTAGGGCCGGTCCTATAACTTTGGATTCATCAATTTCTAATTCCTTAGTTTTTTGTAAATGAGGAGGTAGCATTGGTCCTACAACTTCTGCTACCTTCTCCTGTGGATTGGTAGGTAAAGTAGGTCCTATTGAGATGTTTTTATGTAAATGTAAAGGTAGTGATGGTCCAAAGGATTGGTTATCCTCAATGATGCTATTATATTTTACATCTTGTTTGCTTCGTACTGAGTTTGTCTTATACCTAATACCCTCGTCAGAATTCACAGAATCTGAATCTGATGTATTATCCATATCTGTAAAAAAAGGTACAAAACATAGGCAGAGTACATAAACAATTTTTTAGATTAGCCAATGTAAATTAGTAAAAATTTTATATAAGTATAAATATTTTAACAACATAAACTAAAAGTTGAGATTAGTACAGGCGCACAGGTCAAGTAGAATTTCATGAAAGAAAATAAAAAAATATGTTAACAAAATTTCATAACATGAAATTATAATTCGCTATCCACATCTTTATAAACTCCACTAAGTAAACCTATGAAGCAAAAGTCATAAAATCAAAACACAAACGCCTTCAGGGGGGTATGTTAAAAGAGATCTGAAGAAGTTGGAAGCAAGAAAATTTGAATAGTGGCTAATTGATGTGCTTGGAAACAGGTAGTTAATCAATCTCAATAGTCTTAGAGCCACAGAGTAACTATATCATCCATGGTTTTTTTACAGTTTTTCCCATTCATATATCTCTTCTTCTATAGTTTTTCCTTTATTCAATTTTTCTCTATTGTATGAATCCAGTTTTTCATAATGTATTAATGCTTGTTCTATTGTTTCTGTCTTGTATATTTCTTGATATTATATCTATTCTATATTTTCATATGTGCATGTATCTGTATCTGTAGAGTAGGGAGGGCGAGTTAAGTTTCACAGCACTTAGGCCACAATTGACCCACTGTGCATCCTCCCAGGGAGCTGTCGCCCTTAGCTCATTGTCCATCCTGCCATTTCTAGGACGGTGGACAAGTCACCAGGAGACATCTCTCTTATGTGGGCAGGTGTGGGCCAGGACTCGCCCAACGCGTACTCTCGTATTAACGATAACTCCGGGCATTCACATAGGATATGCTCTACAATTTCGTCTTCTCGTTCACACTTTCTACATAGGTGTGTTTGATAGCCCCAGTGTGTGGAGATGTTTACTTAGTTGACAATGACCAGTTAAAAAACCAACTGTCAAGCGTAGGTTTTTCCTGGTCATTCCCAAGTACTTCTTTGATGCTGACTCTTCAAGGTTACTTAGTGTTATTCTGGCAAGTTTACATCCTTGCCCTTCTTCCCATCTTTTTACGGTTTGCATATGGGAGTGACATTTGACAATTTCCGCGATTGTTGTAGTTGACCAACCAAAAAGATCTCCAGGTCCTAAGAGTCATAGGGCTGCCGCCTTCCTAGCCAATTGGCCAGCAATGCGGTTGCCTTTATTCCTATTGTGACCTTTAACCCACCTCAGGATGATGGTATTACCATCTGAAGCCTGAGTTAGTGACTCGTGACAATCCATTACCAACCCTGATGTGACACGTGGTCTATTCAAGATTAGTAGCGCTTGTCTGCTATCTGTGCAGATCATTAGTTTTCTCTACTATACCTTTTTATGTTATCTCTTTTGCGGTTATGTAGATACCAGCCAGTTCTGTCTGAACTACACTGGCATTTTTGCCCATACCCCACTTTATTCTTAGGTTCAGTCATTTGCCACATTTGTCTCCCTATACTCTCTTGTTTCGATTTTGTAGGGTTTGTTAAAGACAAACTTTGGTTCAATCGAATCGCAGCCTGCCTGTAGCAGTGGTAGCGCATCCAGCTCTCCCCGCCAGAAACGAGTTCTCAATTGCCCCATTCCTACATCAAGGTTTGCACCAGTTGAGTGCAGTTGCATCATTTTCACTAGCGCCACCTCTTTGACATATATATCTAGAGGCGTGATGCCAATGATCAACTCCATTGCAGCAGTAGGTGTTGTTTTCATGGCACCTTATAATATGTGCATGTATCAGCTTGGTTGTTTATGTTACATTTTCAATAGTATAACCCACTGATTGATGATGCAGAAGTATAACCTCCTGTGTTTGTTGTGTTATCCTTTCATTTCCATTGTTATTAACTTACTCTCTTGTTCTTGTTACTTATAATACCAAACTTGTTGTTTTCTTCTATAAGTAATTTTTGGAAGGAATACTGAATTACTTATATATGCATTACTAATTTTGTTTCATAATTTAAATTCATTGTATTTCTACAAGTAAAAAAAAGTATCGAATAAAAATCAACGAGGAACTACTTAATGTAATTAGATATGCGGATAATAGTTAAGATAAGAGAAATATAGATGCTACTAAGTTGTTTTGTTGGCGAAGAATGTTATGAATTCTGTGGACCGACCACAGGACAAATATTTTAATTTTGTATATATAATCAAAAGCTTTCTACCATATGATGATGAAATGAGTTCAAGGTTAGAAAAGGGCTTTCCAGCAAAGTCCATCTCCAACAATTAAAATACTTTGGACATGTTATGAGAGCTGACACAGAAAACATGGAATGAGTTATCTAAGGAAAGGTAGAAGTCTGAAGATCACGAGGAAAATCTTAATAAGATGGATTGAGCAAATTACAGGAATATGCAAAAGACCTATGCATGAGTTAAAAGAAATGACCAGACTCCAGAGATAGCGATCTTTGGGAAGGGCAATACACTACATCACAATGATGACCACACTGCCTCTGGGAGGTTAGGACTGAAGAGAGAGCTAACAACAGTGTTAAAATAATTTGGACTCATGGAATTGTATTATGTGAGTAGCTAAAAACTCTATCTAAGTCTATCTAAGGTGCTTGTTACAGTAAACCATCCTGTTATGTACTGAATACAATTATTAAAAGTGATTTTATTGTACCATTTCTTAGATTGTACATCAGTGACGTACACGGCGGAAACAAGAGCAGATACGGCGAAAACACAAAGACTGCTGGAAACAATAGAAATGAAAGTCTTACGAAAAATAACAAACCAAACTCTAAGAGACAGAGTAAGAAGTGAGGAAATACGAGCGAGATGTGGTATAGAGGAAATAAATGCATGGACCAAAAGAAGAAAAGTGGAGTGGAATCAACACATCGAAAGAATGACAGAAAATAGAATAGTACGAATAGCAAGAGACAAATCGCCAAATGGAAGAAGATCATTGGGACGACCTAGGAAAAGATGGTCAGACAACCTCAATTGAGGCTAAAAACCGAAGTAAAACAGGCATTAAGCCTATTTAAAAAGTAGGAAGAAGAAGAAAATTATATATTTTAAATCAGTGCTTAAGTAACAGTGAAAAATCCATAATCAAAAAAGAGTATATACCTTTACTTAGAATCTAAAAGTCCTACATCTATCATAAGAAATAAATATACAAAATTTACCCATACATTTGCAGAATGTATAAGAGGTTGAGAATCACCTCATGAAGGTAAGAGTTGTACTGTTGTACAAAGTATGAAAGTAATAGATATTTAATTATTTAATCTGAAATTTAAAGTGTAAAGGGGGTGTAAGAAAAATATAGACAAATAATCCAGTCAGTTGCTTTTACTGCAAATATTTTCATATTAATTTTCAACATGTGGCAACTGTAGTTTTAAAATTACTCAAAAAATCCCATAACTATATACCTGTGTTGACTAGAACACATCAAGTATTTTATTATTTTGATAAAATTAAACTCATTGTCAAATTTTTCACAGTAGACTGCAGTAGAATTTATTCACTGTCAATTTGTATCCATGTCCCAAAAATATAGCAATAATTTTATATTCTCTATGTAATTTTTAGAAAATAAACAAAAATTATTTAAACATTTTCTTTATTTTTCGGCTACTATACTTAACACTTTTAAGAACTCCAGCTGTAAAAATGCCTTTAATACTCTGCCTTACAGATGATTTCCAAACTATATTCGATATACACTTTTTAACAATATGTCCACAATCTGGATTGTAAGCTATTGCACGTAACACATCTTCAGTATCTTGCTGAAAATTACCCCTATTCCAATATCTTGTCAAGGCCTTTTGGGGCCAACGTGGTAGCTGATTAAGATGATGTAATCGGGCAACAGGACTGTAATCCTGACTACAAGGATTTCTTTCTAATAATGTATTATCTTTTGGTACATCAGTTTCAGTATTAGGATCACATTTTGGTATAGGAATGTCGACATAGTCTTGCAAAGTTTTAATCAAGGGTTGGTATAAACTTCGGAAACTTAATAACTGGGGTCTTACAATGTTTTCAATTTTATTTTTATTTTCACCAAAAGTCATTCGAAAATCTCCATTATAACTTAAATTAGATATTGTATGATAAAACTCATATTCCGTAAAGTTCTCCGGTAGTATTAAAAGAGCTGCATGTACTGCTGATTGTAGGTTTAACTGGATAGCAGTTTCTAATTCTGTACTAAGAGGCTTTTCAATTATTTCAACTGGTTTATGCAGTCTACCAGCTAAATATAAGTCAGACCATTCTAACAAATCGGTAATCAAATCTGTCGTACTAACAACTCCATACTTTATATATAAATCGTCAAGAGGAACAAGAGTGTTAAAATATACTTTAGCTCCAAAATTTTGTTGATAGTGTGATACAAAGTTATGTCCAAAGTACTTTAAACTACTGTAATCGGATGGATTCTTCTTTATATTAGATTCATGCCAATGAGATGGATTATTTACACAAAAAATTAGATCAATCATATTTTGAGATGTGTTTTGAAGTTGTTTTTTAACTCCTGATCCATAGGCAAAACAAAACGTTGTATTCTGAGGAAATCTTGAAAGAATTCGCTTGTATATTGGAGGTACTATCATTACTTTTGTAGCCATTGCTATTATGTCTTTTATTGCATAATTTAAAAAAGTATCCTTTTAAAAAATAAATATTTTTAAAATTTTAAATTAACCTAAAAAAATTACCTGTCATTGCTGTCAGAAGCACTTACTATTCTGTGTCATCGTCAACATAATAAACTTCTGAAAACCACAGAATGGACCGCAGGAGTGTGACGTCACATTGTCATTATTACTTTCCAAACAAACGTTGAAATGTCAAATCTCAAGACTTTTTAATTCCTATAAAGTTAACATTTTGCTTCCTCTGCTGCTTTTTCTTGTAAGTATAGTGTTTTTACGATAATACCGTCATAATTCAGAGTTCTATTTCTATGAAATATGGTTTAAAAGTTTAATTAAAGAAATTTTAACCTTACTTTATTGATACTTTCATTTTATTCCTATTAGCCTAAAACAATGTGCTTTATTATTTACACAACCTTGTAAAATTGTTGTAGTAACTATTAGAATACTTAAATATTGCAAAAAGCGGAAAGATTCTATAAAATAAATGAAAAAATAACGAAAAATACAAATTATCCACACTAAACAACGTTTGTTTGGAAAGTGAAACTGGCAGATGTCAATCAAATCTACGTCATCACTCCTGTGGTCCATTGAACCACAGAATAATAAACAATCAGAATGCCCACTCTCCATGGAAAATTAAGTAAACGCAATGTACGCGCATCTCGTTCGCGCAGACGTTCCGCCATGTTTTAAAGAGAACGTTATGTGGTGTCCATAGAAAAATTAACCCGGTTTAATTGACTTGCGGCAATCATAGACATACTATACAATTATTTTAACATTATTAAATATGATAACATAAATATATTATAATTAAACATAAATATAAACAATTATGTAACCTCACAAATCATAAAACGATATCTTTGATGCTGAATCAGCGAAGAGCCACGGATGTTAAAATATTTGCGAACCGACGTACAGTGATAGTGAGAAAAACCATAAAAGTTCAGTTCAGATAGTGACACCGAACTGGTTGTTCCTGATATTCCACAACCCAAAAGACGAAAAACAAAACAAAAAGAATCGGATCCTTTCGAATGGCAAGAAAAAAATATTGCTCCTACAATACATAATTTACTGTCCTACAAGTGTTTGAAGCCTTTTTACACAAGAGATAATGGAAAAAGTGGTTGAACAAACCAATGTATTCGGTAATAATGCCAATTCTGGAATGCCTGGCCCTTCTCACATGAAAAAACTGGCATAACACAGATATTGATGAGATGTATGTTTTTATTGCCGTATTTTTGCTCATGCCACAAGTAAAAAAGCATTTATATAAAAGTGATTATTGGACCAAAGATGCTTTACCTGAAGCACCCACATTAAAACAGTGTATGCTGTTCGAGATAGATATTTTCAGCTATTGAGAAATATCCACTTTTCAGATAACAATAACTGTAACTTAAATGACCGTCTTGTGAAAATTAGAAGTGACTATTTTAGGAATATTTTCAAGAAAAACTTCTATCCATTTGGAAATATTTCTTCAATATCTTCTGAAAAAAAGGCATCGTTTTGGAATTAAGTTTTTTGTTGCCGTTGATTGTGAAACCTGTTATATATTAGATTTATTGATATATACCGGAACGGATAGAGATATAACTCTTGATATATCTGGATTTTTATTTAGCGTATGGCAATTTGATACACAACATTATCACATATATGTTACAATCTAACATCTAATGTATTAATATATTCAATCGACGCTGGTGTTGCAGAGGCGAAGTCTAGAGGATCTCCATAATACTTCCTCCGAGGGCATTCGGTAATCATATGCTGGATGGTCTGTTTCTCGGCGCCGCAGTCGCACTCAGCAGAGGTTCTCATCCTCCGTTTATAAAGGGAATCTGCGCAGACTCCATGACCCGTTCTTATCCTGTTAAGAGTTGACCATGATTTTCGGGGGAGGTCAAAACCTGGTGGAGTTTCTGTGATGCATGGTGTGTTTCTCATTATTAGGTTCGGTCTGTCGCTCTGCATGTTCTTCCACTGGGAGTTCATTTGGAAATTGTTAGAACTCAAGTTTATTGCATCTCTAGTCGGAGGTTTTCTGGAGCGCAATCGATGTGAATTAGCGTCGGCGACATATGTGTGTATAGGTAATTGCGGGTTGTTAAGCAGCTTTTGGAATTCTCTAAGCAGAGCATGCTGACGACGAAGATTAGGTGGAGGTATATGGCTCAGTAGTGGAAGCCACTACACAGGTGTAGACTTGATCGTTCCAGATATGAGACGCATGGCTACATTGAGCTGGGTATCTATAATTTTTGTGTGAACGCTATTCAGCCAAACAGGAGAGCAGTATTCAGCTGCGGAGTATAAGAGTCCAAGGGCTGAACACCGAAGTGTACCTGCTGATGAGCCCCATGTAGTCCCGCAGAGCTTCTGTATGATGTTGTTACGGGTTCTCAGCTTTGCTGCGGTGTTCTCAAGATTTTTCTTAAAGGAGAGTGTTCTGTCCAGGGGGACGCCGAGGTACTTGGGATTATAGTTGTGCGTGAGCAGTTGATTATCAATGTATACTTTAAGTTTTGTGTGGGCCATTTTGTTGTTCAGGTGAAAACAGCTAACCTCGGTTTTTTTGGGGTTAGGTTAGGTATATATTAGTTAGGTATATCTGGAAACATCGTTATGACACTGACCGAGCCATATTGGAATAATGGCCACAAAATTTACATGGACAACTGATACAGCAGTCCATTACTGGCTGAAGCTTTATTCGAAAAAAAGTCTAATTGTTGCGGAATTGTAAAGCAGAATCGAAAACATATGCCAAAATTTAAAAATAATCTGGAAAAAGGTTCTATACAATACTTTTGTACTGACAAATCTTTGGCACTCAAATGGAAAGATAAAAGAGATGTTGTAATGTTGACAACCATGCATGAAGCTAATACATCTAAAACTAAAAATAGCAGAAACTAGAGTCGACAGAATAGACATGCTCATAAGTTTTACTGAATCCGTAATTAAAAACGTGAAATGGTACAAAAAGGTCTTTTTTCATATGCTTGACCTGATTGTACTAAATTCACATGCTATTTACAAAATCAAAACTGGGAAAACATTCCTCTATTGGATTTACAGAGGGATTTGGTGAAACAAATTTTACAAAAATATAAACAAAGCACTCCTCGACTGTCATGAAGTAACAGACCGAATGCTGCTGATAATCTATTACGGTTGGTAGAAAGACATTTTTCTACGCTGTATCCGTTACGAGAAAACAGGTGACCTTTGTCAAAAAGATGTGTCGTTTGTGCCAAACGCAAAATTAGAAAAGACACAAGGTACTTGTGTCAAAAGTGTAATGTGCCTTTATGTGTAGTAAGCTGTTTTGAACGATATCACACAATTTTAAAATTTTGAGTTCTGTATTGTTGGATTTCTTTCAAAATTAGAATTAATGTTTTTTTGTGCACATTTTTTCGTTATTTTGCTTCTTTATGAATTTTTAATTCAAATAAAAATGATTTTTTTAGTAATTAACTTGTTCCTTTTTCTAATAACGTCAATACGAACAGAAAAATAAATAAAAATGAATATATGTAATTACCACCATAATTACTGATTGTGATCGGGAAGCGGATTAATCAGCAACTGTTGACTTTGCCCGTACTGGGAAACTACTACGTTTTACCTAATGCTGACACGAAAGGGTTAATAAAATTTCGTTATGTCTTTGAATTGCAAACTGTCTTTTGTTGTTTTTGTTTTTTTTTTCACAATAAAATCTTTATTTATATTTTAAATTACTAAATTTTTAATTTTAAAACTTAAAATATTTAAGAAATTTTTGATATTAAAATTATTATTTTTTTATTACATCTAAATAAAACTTTTTATAACTTTGAATTAATGGAAATGAAAATTAACTAATTTCCCGTTGAAATTCCTCGCTAACTCCGGACAGTTATTTTTAAATGCTGACATGAAAACCTCTTGAAATTGTTCGGCGGCTATGTCTACGTTCAATGTATGCCTTATCGTCCCTTTAATCTTACCTTAACAATATTCCAGGTTTGCTTGATAGTTTTCCCAATTTGTTTTACGAGGATTACAACAAGTTTCCTTGATACGCTCATTCCCGATCTCGATGGTCTGAAGAAGAAACCTCATCTAAGACATGCCATTTTTTATAATTACAGGCACATTTGCTACATTTATAGAAGAGTGTGACAGACATAACATATTTTCCACAAATTTACCAAGCGAACGAATACTTTATGTACAGTGATTGATCAAATTATTAGAGCCACCCAATAAAATTTTACTTTTTGTTTAAAAATGGTATGAAATCGAGCTATAAAACATATTTTATTGCTTAATTCTATTTTACTGAGATTAAGAATATTATAAAGTTTATAAATCTTTAAAAAGAAACGAGTAATTACATGAAAACACTTAAAATTATGCCTGAAGCCTAATACTTGGTAGTGTAATCCTTTGCAGCAATGACTGCCTGGCACCTTCTTGACATACTTTCTATGCATATTTGGCAATTTTGTGGAATTGTTCCACTCCTGTGCCATTTTGCTATTAAGCGCTCGATCATTTACGCTTTGTAGTTATAATTTTATTAGAATCTTATTCATGAGCTTCCAAAGATTTTCTATTGCATTTAGATCTAGCGAGTTGCTAGGGCAGTTGTCTGGTTGTCAGCAAGGAATTTTTTAACAGTTTTTGCCTTGTGACAAGACGTCGGAGTCATGCATAAACGTGAAACTCTTATTCAGAAACTACTCCTGGGCCTGGGAAAGTATTTTTGCTTGCAGTAGGTACTTTTAAGTACTGGTACTGCCGCATTATTCCTTCGACAATGTAGAATCTAGCAGTTCCTTGACTGCTTATGCTGAACAACACCATGATGTTGGGCTTTACCGTCCTTACAATACTATCAGCTTTACCTTTTTCCCCAGGTCTTCCCCTTACAAATTCAGCTCTATCCATGAGGATCTGCACGGTGGATTCGTCCGAAAAAAAAAACCTGGAATATTATTATTATGTTAGAGTCACGGACAAAGTGATCAACTGTAAACTACATAAAAGAAAAACGATATGAAGTAATGTTATTTACCTGATTCCAATCATCAGTGGTCCAATCTTTGTGATCTTTAGCCCACTGAAGCCTTTTTTTCTTCATGACTGCCATGAGTAGCAGCTTTTTTGCAGGGCGACAAGTTAAAACCCAATATTCTTTATTCGCCGATGAGCTGTCATTGGTAAAATACTGGTGTCAGACTCATGCATCATTTTCGTTTAAACCTTCAAGGTTTTCTGTATGCCATTTTCTGAATTTTTATTTCATCTCGTGGCGTTGAAATTTTTTTTTCGACCATATTGGTTTTTCGTGAGGTCAAATCCAAATTTTCGTCAATCTTTTCTTTATACAGTTGCCCTTGAAACTTTAGAAATTGACGGTATTTTTCTATTGGAGTGATTATTGTTCAATAATAAAGTATTTATTTCCACTGTTTTCCTTAGTGAGATTTTTTTGGCTTCTCCCATGATGTTCTGGTACCACTGGTGTAACAAACATGCAATGTTGTTTTGCAAATTCATAAAAAATAGTATACGACTGTCAGAATATCACTAGAGAGCAGTGGAAACCATTTATTATAACTCTAAACACCAAAAATACAAAACAATAATTATGGAAACCAGTTGCAAGCTAGGCTGGACAGCATTGACAACAATGGCATATGAGCCACGACCGCTGTGTTTCCACTGTGGTCAGACTATTTATTGTACTTTCATAAAGTGTTACAAGATAATAAAATGGTAACAAACGCATTAATATACTATATAATTCAATTATATATCCTTTTTGTAAAAAAATTAAATTTTGCTAGGTGACTCTAATAATTTGATCACCCACTGTACCATCACCTCGGGAAATTTGCTTTACAGTTGTTCATTTGCCTTTTTTTGTCTGGCAGCTGGTAACAACCAAGATTAATACCGTCGATTTAACGATTTCAACTATTATTCGGACTACTATATATGTTCCTACATAACATTATAGTCTATCTATGTTATAGATAAGTTTTGTCGAACATTTGTACCAATAAATTACTTTGGATTCGATTAAACATTTCTGAAAAAAAAAGCTTGCTGGTTTTGATCAATCTAACATGCATGAAATAGACATGTTTAAGACGGAGGGCGACAGAAAAACTTTCGGACATTTTCTTCATATTTTATCCAAGAATCTTATATTATTATATAAAATTAGCATGCTAGTAATTACCAAACATCCTATCGCGAAAACGTTTTCCCGGGAAAGCTACCGCCGCTGTCAAGTTCTCCTACAAACAAAAATCTGTTGTGACTCGGAAATCTTATGCCGCTTAAGAAAATGCAGCTTGCTGGTAATCACGGAACTTCTAATAAATTTGTTGTACTGTGACGACAGAGAAATTTCATTGATGACGTGCAACAAACTTAACAAATTAATATATAGGTAAGTATGTTTTCGCAGACACTTAAAATAATAATAAAAAAACCATCATCGAAAAAATATTTATTTATATAATTTTGCCAATTTACAAGTTAAGATCATAACATATTTTGAAAGAGTTATAAAAATAAAACGAACGTGTAAAGAGGAACAGAAGTATTTTTTCAATGATTCAAAAACTTCATCCAATGAAATAATAAAAATTTATTTAAAAATGAAATAAATACCAGGTATAAAATTGTACATTAACAAACAAAAAAAAATAGATAGGACCTACTGACTTTCTAATAGCACTGTGATCTTTTCAAGTGCATATCGCATTTTTTCATATAAACCTATTGGACAACCACACTTTTCAATTGATTCAAATTTGTATGTACGAAAAGCTCTATCTTCGTCTATATATGTAATGGCAGCCAATAGAGGGCACATTATTATTTTCGTGTGGTCACCAAAGTTCATCTAAAAAAAAAACAATTTATTAAATACTAATACTGTTATACGTTTTATAAGTAGTTTTTTTTTTATCTAAAATGAAATACAAACAAATATTCCTGAACGGAGTGTGAATTCACAAACCCGATATTCCTCTATGTCCCATTGTCAGTGCATACAACTGTTTACACAACCATTGGCCATGTACTTGACCAAAACTCGACAATATCTCGCCAAAAATGCTTGATCTTTCGTCAAACATTCTTTTTATTTCATCGAACTTCTTAAACAATACCCTATCTCACTTTCAGACATTCTAGTAAGTTTTGGGACCCTCATCATAGGAAAGCTTTTCTTCTTTACATCAAAGGTGTCACTCGCAAAATCGACCAATTTCCTAAATCAAGAGGAATAAATACAATATTTAGCCCCCACCAAAAACTTCCATCTCTTGTCCGATCAATGAAAGACAACATTCCAAATGACCAACACAGAGATTATAAAATTCCTTGTGCAAACTGCCCCCGAGCGTATATAGGGCCAACAAATCGCAGAATTCAAAATAGGATTTCTGAACATTCCATTCCTCCGACTCAATTTCAGCTCTAGGTCAATACCATCTTCATACAGGTCATAAAATTGATTTTAAAAACTCCAGAACCATAGCCCTCATCCGCTTCTATACACCAAGAATTATCCGAGAAGCCATAGAAATTGAAAAAAAAAAAAGCCAAATTGTCTCAATAAAAAATATGACGGTAATATTCGACTTGGAGACCTCTCAAAGAAAATATCGTCCGCTCCACCCGTCAATCAAAATACTGTCAGAAATGTTCGCTCCAATCCGTAATTGGGTATCCGTAACATAGATAGTTGCTTTAACATCTTTTGTCAATCTACTCCATGAAACGCCTGTTTGAGTCAATATATTGTAAATAAGTATGTTATATTCAAGACATTTTTCATGTATACCTCTTAACATATGTATTTGGTCTATAGTTGACCTCTTTGGTCTGAAGCCACATTGGTATTCACTAATCATCTCCTCCGAAAATGATTCCAGGCGGCTGTATATAATTCCTGATAATATCTTGTAGGCGACATTTAAAACTGTTATGCCCCTATAATTTTTGCAGAGTCGTTTGTCTCCCCCTTTGTACATAGGAAGTATGATTCCTACTTTCCAATCTTCAGAAAGCATAAAATTTATTAAACCGTTTTCGTAGAGAATATTTTTGAGTATTTTTTTTGGTTATTGAACTTTGACACATTTAATTCTAAGGGGGTACGAAGTTAGCCAGGTCAACTAGTAATTAATTAACTAACCAAGGTAAATATCAAATATTAAGCTTAGGTTAAATTAATAAACATGTTGAAAAGTAATTATATATAAATTTAAGACAAACCTGTACTGTTCCATTGTTTAATTGCATAAGTACACCAGACGTTGATCTACACCACTGGTGCAAATGTGGGGTCCTGGACATACAATCGGTTTCTTTCACTACGGCAGCACCTGTTTTTAAGAGATGCTCCCTCATATATCTACTAAAGTATGACAACAATTTCATCTTCTTTTCATGCTGTTTGGGGTAATTATCTACGGTCATGTATGATTCGTCTCCATTTTTATCAACATAATGCACATTTCTAAAAAAAAAAATCAAAACATTTAAAAAATAAATAAGACCATCAATATTTTTTTTATAGTTTTATTTATTTTTTATAATTTTTATGTAATTTAAAGAAAATTACTCCACGGATATGATTGAACAGCAAAGAAGACTTGAAAAGGCTGGGATTCTACTTTAGATCTATAGCTCCAGTGATGATGAAAGCTTTCAGAAAATTCAGAAAAGAAACCAAAATACAAAGACAACATATATTTAGAATAAAATCTAGAACGGGATATAGAAAAAAAAGTATGGAATAAGTAGTCAACAAAAGCAAAAAGTACCAACAAGGAAAAAAGAATTTAAAAAATATGTAAACAAGCACTTAAAATTCACCTGAAAATTAAAATACCAATTTCGAAATCTCTGTAAGTAGTAACAGCAAATTTTAACGCAACAGTGAAAATATTTTGTAATTTCAAAGTAAATAAATAGATGAAAGACAGTTGCGATACAGCTAATTTCAAATCGAATGGCTAGCCCTCCCACGAAATAGTTAATCGCGCAGACAATAGAATATCAATGATCAGACCCATACAGTGGCGTTGCAATGTTAAACAAATTAAATTATTTGAAATCGCACTAATTACAATATTATTACTCATTTAAATAATAAATCAAGTTAGATTGTACACAGATTGTTTTATAGATACCAAACTTTTTGTTTGTTATAATACCATCTTTAATAATTGATACTCTATAAAGTTCTCTATAATGACTTTATAATTACGGTTTTAAGGAAACTGATACTAAATTAGAAATTAACTTTTACCAAACTTTGTAGAGTATCAATTATTAAAGATGGTATTATAATAGACAAAAAGTTTGGTATCTATAAAACAATCTGTGTACATTCAAACTCGATTTATTATTTAAGTGACTAATAATTTTGTAATTAGTGCGATTTCAAATAATTTAATTTATTTAATATTGCAACGCCACTGCACGGTCTGATCATAGATATTTTATTGTCTGCGCGATTAACTATTTTGTGGAAGGGCTTGCCACTCGATTAGAAATAAGGTATAATAATAAATTATAAACTTTTCTGCATTGAGTTCAATATTCTAGGGTTGTATATGGATTAGCCTCAGATCTGTTGAGGAGTGTGAATATTTTGAGTAATATTTTTTTGGGAAACCCTAAAAATAATTTCCTTTAGTGGAAATACAAGTACAAATCAATAATAATATTCAAAAAAACTTTTTGAGTTTAAATGGATTTAGAACAGAAAATTAAAAAAACAAATAAATAAAATTTAATCAGATTTTTGAAAATATAAATAATTAACTTACATTCCATTCGGTAGCATAATCAATTTGGTGGTGTCATTAAACATGACTCCTACACAATCATCAGATAACTGATAGCCAAATCCATATTTGTCTGAGTAATCTACCCACTTCGACACCCAAACCATCGGTTGGGCAGAAGGGTCTGTCATCTCATCAGAAAATGCTCTTTGTCTACCTGGTTTCGTCTTTAACACCTAAAAAAACATTAAATGCAAAATTATGTTGATATGTAGTACATACAAAATAGAATATAAGGCAGTGGTAGATAATGTAGGCTTGCACATAATAAATTAACGAAGCAATAACATGAATTTATTTTAATAGAAATTTAAAACACTTACCGCAATTAGCATTCCTTTCAATGCCAAGAAATTTTCTTTGGCTTCAAAGTTGGTATATGCTTTTGTTGGATTTCCTGATGGTACTAATCCTGCAGTAATGGAGTTGTGTTTCTTTTGTGGCGAAATATTCATCGGTTCTCCTAAAAGTAATATTTTTAAAAATATATTTATACTAACAAAAGGAAGATAATATGAACACAAGTTCTCGTGTCGTTATATTAAAATTTTGGTAAATTAATAAGTTCAATTATAAGAACAAAAATATAAAAATTGTAGCTGTATTATTTATTTTAATGTTAGTCAGACATAAAGTTAGGATAGTTTTTTAATTAGTATCTGTATTCAATACATTAATTTGTCTACAGGTAACAGAATTTACAGAACAAACACATCGTTACAAATTAGTCGACCAGTAAAATAAAAACTGGTAAATATCACTTGCTCTCTTGGGAAACACTGAACATTATTTCATACCTAGATATTTGTTAATTTTTTTTATGAATGTGCCATACCCATTTTGAGCATAGGAAGTTCCTCTGCTTATATGCTGAATTATTATTACATAATTGTATATGAGACTTTAGTTTAATGTGGACTCACCACATGTACTTTTTTTACTGGGAATTAACCCACATCTTTGAATGAACAACATGACTGACAAATCGTGCTCCTATGAAGTATACACTCTACGAAAATTTATTTCAGCAGATGAAGCGGCTGTTACAAGAACTGATATTTTTAATTTAAGACATTTGTATCGTGGACCGTGGTCAGGCTTGTGTCTCAGGCAATATTAACGTCATGCTTCAACAAAAATTCTCCATAAACATCTGGCCGGTCTGACTTATTTATTTATTAGTTTGTTCTTATATTCTTTCCCCCTTAACAACACATGTGGTTTCAAAAAATATGTTATTATTTTATTTCCATCAAAACCTGTGCCCATATGTCCCCTGTAGAAAATATTGTCTTGTCCACCTGGGCCTCCCTTAGGGGCACATGTGGACTTATTACATCTACTAGAAATTTAATCTTCTTCTTTTGGTGCCTATCCTCTGTGAATGTTGGCAATCACGTTGGTTCATACAACTTTGTTGAGAGCTGCTCTAAATAGATTTATGGTAGCCATTTCTGCCCACTGTCTAATGTTCTTCAACCACATAGTCCTTCTGAGCCATTGAGATTTTTTGCCTTCTATCTTGCCTTGTAAAATTAGTTGAATTAGTTGATACTTCTCATTACGCATCACATGCCTTAAATATGTCATCATTCTGATTTTCACGATACGCATAATTTCCAGATCTTTATTCATACGTTGGATCACGGTGTTGTTTGTAACATGATGGATATTGGAAATTCTGAGCATGCGGCGATAGTACCACATTTCGAAGGCTTCTAATCGTTTGGAAGTTGCCTCCATCAAGGTTTCGACTCCATATAAAAGGGTAGAAAATACATAGCATCTCAAGACTTGTGTTCTTATACCAATTTTTGAACTTTACTTCTTGTGCCCTCTGGTTTTGAAAATGTTAATCTCTTCGTGTATTCGTGATCTGACATCCTAGCAATGTGTCCAGCCTATCTAAGTCTCTGCACTTAACGAATTTCACAACATCTGGATTAGTATATAACTGATTTAGTTCAAAGTTGCATCTTCGACATTTTGAGTTAAGGTCCACGTTTTAGCGCCATATATCAAAACCGGTCTTATAAATATTGAGCTTTACTGTATGTTTTTGAACGCCTTGTTTATAGATGTTATAAATTATACAATTTGTGACATGAGACTACAACTTCATGTTTTTTGTCTTATAGTAATTGAACCTAAGTTACATTACCAAAATGTAATGTACGATATGGCAAGAATTATTCTTCAGTCCCGTGATACAGTATAGTTTTTGTAACAACTTACCATTATTTATTTCCATCAGGGCCCTACGAGTAGGCACATCACAATTTTCAAATCTCGGAGCCATTGTGAGTGCACTAACAGGCAAACTCGGTGGGCAATAACCATTTTGTATAAAATCGTGTCTTATTAGCGCATCGATTTTTGGACGATTCTTCGGATCTGATTGGAGCATTAATATTATCATTTGCTGTGCCGACGAAGAAATGTTTGGAGATAATCTAAAAAGGAGAATATTATGAATCTCAATTTTACTTCATTAAAAAAATGTTGGTTTCTGCTTTAAATGATTTGTTTTTACTGTCCACCTGAAAAGTGACTGAACTTAATCAAGGTGCCGACAGAATCCACAAATTCATAAATAATTTTAACTCTCACTAGAACTTTGTTTTTTTTTTTCAGAAACAAGGGTTTTGAAGGAAAACGGCAAGACCAAAACCACATTGTTAGAAGGCGTTCAAAGCATCGTAGAGAAGTCTTCAGACTGGATATTGGAATAACAGGTAAGAATGGAAAATGCGATGAAGAAAAAAGAACGATTATTGGAGCTAACAGCAAGATTTCCAAATACAAACAATGAACTTATCAACTGTTCAAATAAAAACATATCTAGTAATTCGCTTGGCTCCAGAGACTTCTATGGACTAATTATGCAGTTGAAAAGATGGGTTTAAATCTTAAATACTCTTCTATATGTAAAAAAATCAAGTATCTAGAAGTTTCAGTTTATGACCGGAATAATTTTGAAAATAATTCATTTAAAAAAAAATTGAGACTGCAAAATTATTTACAAAAAATTGAAAAAAAAATTTTTTGAGAGTTGACTTTTTTTACTGTTTTTTGGGTTATTTAGTATTTTTATCTCAGCATATTTTAACGCTTCTATGTTAAACTTTTCCTCTAAAGAGTCTTGTCTACTGTCAAATCCCACAATTTGAGAGAGTGATTTCATAGTTTAAAAGCGGAATATCCTCAAATTTAAATGTACACAGCGGCCCTCGAAAACTACCCGTTTTCTCAATTGCAATTTGCGTTTTCTCATAAGAGATTACAGAATATATAAGTAGTATAATTATTTGTGCTTCTCTATAGAAGAGTTGACCAGGAGTTGTCGTACAGTGTAGCCAATTCGTGTTCACAAGTAGTAATTATGGTCATACAAAACCTGTATTCTTCCACGCAGCGATTATCACCGTTATAAAAATACCAAAAAACATGATTTTTTCAATAGTAAAAATTAATCACAAAATTGTAATAAAATAAATTTTATTTATATGTTCTGTTTTGTTACATATTTAAATTTATAAAATAAAAATCGATATTTTAAAACATTACTTTTCAATCTCTTGGCAACCTTGCGCTAAGCGACGGAGTTCCGACTCACAGACAGAGCTGTAAAACTTGTTTGACGGTAATGCTGATGAAGAAATCAAGTCATATATTGTTCAATTACATTGGCGTATCGGAAGGTATGTATGTGTTCCATTTTCTGAATATATTTGTTATAAATTTGTGTTATTGATAATACGAGTGTTATAGTTTGTCGTTTTATAGTAAATTTTTAGTTAAATTCTGTGATTATTTGGTTGGAGTTTCTGTTTATATTAAATTGGAACCTGGGTCTGTGGTTGTAATGGATAATGCGCCATACTATAGCCGCAGACTAGAACAATTACCGACGACGGCATGGCGGAAAGGGAGAATTCAAGAATGGCTTACAGAAAAGGGGATTGCATACGAAGAATCAATGCTCAAAATTCAGCTACTTGACATTGCAGGGTTAAGGAAAAGTGAGTATCTTAAATATGATGTGGATGAAACTGCAAAAGATTATGGTGTCAAAGTTCTGCGTCTACCACCTTATCATTGCGAACCTAATCCCATTGAACTTATCTGGGCGCAAGTGAAAGGAGAAGTAGCAAGCAATAACAAAACGTTTCAATTAAACGAAGTTAAGGAACTTTTAATTCAAGCAATCCTCCATGTAACTCCAGAGAAATGGGCTAAATGTATATGCCACATAATTAAAGAAGAACGTCGTATGTGGGAACTTGACACTCATATCGAAGTTTTACTAGAGCCAATTATCATTACACCAGGTGAAGATAATGACAGCGATAGCAGAACTGCATCTTCAGATTTAGACAGCGAATAATATTTTCTAATAGTTTAGTAAGATCGTCAGAATAAAAAAAATGAGAAGAACATAGCAAGTGTGTATAGTGTTTGTGTTTAAATAGAATAGTACAATGTTTCGTTACATCAAAAATTATTTTTATTTTGTTTTTATAGAATTTTATTTTGTTTTATAGAATTTTATTTTGTTTTGTTTTATACTGTTTTTAAAGTGTTTTGCTCATTTTATTTAATGGGACAATATGGCTCTTGGCGAACACCCATTTAAAAAAGTAACGCGCCACAAGACATACCTCTGGGGTGGCGTGGAAACTGTCTTAAAATTTGTTTTAAAAAAAATTTCATTATGTAACTCTTTTAGGACGGGTCGCGTCAAAAGACGTTTTAGCATAACTTCTGCGAAAGCTTACTGATGCTAGGTGGCATCAGTAAGCTTTTTGTAAAATTAATCGCTTTTTATTACTTTTTGTTTGTGTGTGTGTGTCTGTGTGTGTGTGTGTGTGTGTGTGTGTGTGTGTGTGTGTGTGTGTGTGTGTGTGTGTGTGTGTGTGTGTGTGTGTGTGTGTGTGTGTGTGTGTGTGTGTGTGTGTGTGTGTGTATTTTTCTGTATTTTTAGGGGAATGTAGGGAATTACCAACACAAAATATGAATTCATATGTTTATCTACTGACGTTTCGATCTCTATATCCAGAGACCGTTTTCAATTATACAAATGATAGTAATATTTATTTTCTATGGCTTTTTGCTTGTATGTATTTTGTATTTTTAGAAATAATGTTGGGAATAAGCCACAATATATTTATTCAAATGTTTAATTTACGGACGTTTGGATTTCTATAAAGAGACCGTTTTTAAACATACAAATGACATATATTTGTTTTCCTATATATTGTGTTTGTGGCATTCTGTATTTTTAGGGATAAGGTTGGAAATAAACCACAATATATCTATTTACGTGTTTAATACACTGACGTTTCGATCTCTATTCCAGAGACCGTTTTTAAAGATAGAATAAAAAAAGAAAATAAATAATATAAGATTATAAAAATATATAATAATAAACAAATAAAAAAAATATATCCTATCATTTATATTTTTCAACGCGGACTTTGGATATAGAAATCGAAACGTCAATAAAAACTTGTAAATAAATATATTGTGGCCTATTTCGAACAATAATATTTGAAAAATATAATATAATTAACGTTAAAAAAAAATGAGTGTACGCCACTGGATTTTCATACGTCTTTCCCCACTTCACCGCCTTTAAACAATGAATCACTCTTCTAAATTGTGGAATTTGACTTTAGAGTACTACATTGTCGGTTTGATCTACTGTACTCTCGTCTGGGCTCTCTATGTTCATTGAGACAGTTGTATCAGGTGCATCTTGTAAAGTGTGTTTTCAAATGGGTGGTGCATATTCCATCTCCTTATCTACACTAAGACCTTCACATCATATTTTGGACAGCCTTGTAGTATTCTTTCCAGTTCCTCATAGTGTTCTTCTTTTCCTTCGTTCAGCTTCTCCGCACTGGGTACACAAATATTTATTATTAAGTAATTACAATTTGATTGAAAAATTGGTACATACTTGTCTTATACAGTACACTTTGCTCCAAACTATAATTTTAATCTTATCACTCCTCATTTTTTAAGAAAAACAATTATTGTGTTTTTGGGTGCTGCATTATACACTAAACGAAACTGTACGAATGAATACAACCACTTAATAGAGGGTTTTTATGAAAATCCTAATTATGTATAATGAAAGAAAAATATAACACGCATGTGTATTCTGTAGAGATACATAGTTTCTAGATCTATTTGTAACATTTTGGCAGCAACTGCGGCAGACATTATCCAATTCCATCCGTCATGTTTATAATCACAGAATAGTTTTAACAGAACAATCGGAAAAATTCTTCATATAATTGGACCATGACTTTTATGCATTGCAGAAAGAGACGTGAAGATTCATAAGAGAGCAAAGAATGGAAAAGAATGATCTGATAAATCTGAACCATATTACCAAAGATGAGTGAAGAAGATACCTCAAACAACTCAACCAAGGAATAGAAACTAACATTGTAAGTGAAGTGGAAGAAAAAGTGAAAAATACAAAGGGTCCGAATTTTCCAACTCCTAATGAGTAAGTTCAAAAATACTTAATATAACATATGAACAACAAGGATTTAGAAGAGGAAGATCTAACGATGAAATCTTTACCAATCCAATAGTTCTAGAATTCTCGAATGGGTTTCAAACTGAGAATGAGAAACAAATGTAAGATGTACACTAAGCCAATTGGCTGCAGTACAACCAGTTTATAACATACAGGTTTCAAAGAAAAAGAAACAATCAGTTGAACTTTGAATGATTCTGACTCTGGCAATTTAAATCTCATGATTACATTTAAACATGTATAAATAAACAAATATACTTACTTATATTCACATTTCTTAATCTTAGAGTAAGTTTCTTTTAAAGTGGTTGTTTCGAAGGGCGGCTTTCCAATTAGCAATGTATACATAATACACCCTATAGACCAAATATCTACTTCGAAGGAATGACCCTTCTTTGTTAAAATTTCGGGGGCAATGTAATTGGGCGTTCCACACAGAGTCTTCTTTCTCTCCCCTTCATATTCAATTTTGGCAGCTAATCCGAAATCGCCTATTTTCACTATCAGATTATCATTTAAAAATAAATTGCCTAATTTTAAATCCCTATGGATTATCCTTGCCTGATGGAGGTATTGCACTCCAGATAATATCTGTTTCATATAAAACCTAGTTTCTGGTTCTGTTAAGGCTTTTCTTCTTTTGTGAAGTTCCATCATTGACTACAAAGAAATAGTTGAGAGTAAACAATTGAAAATGCGAAATTACAATCACTGAAATTTTTATAATTAAATACAATCACTTACCTTTTTTCTACATAATTCTAATATAATATAAATGTTGTGGTTGTCATCAAAAAAGTTATAGAAGCCAACAACGTTTTTGTGTCGAAGTGATTGGTGAATCTGAATCTCTTGCGTCATCTTTTCTTTTTGATTTTGCTTCTGCATCAACGTTTTGGAAACTATCTTGCCTGCATAGGATTGGTTGTTGAGGGAGTTTGTCAGCTCGTAACATTTTGCAAATCCACCCTGTAAAATATTATTTATATTTTAATAAAAGCTAAGACATTAGGTTCTAAATAGTTTTTGATTTTCTACTCCAGGAAATTTCCTCTTAAATGGATGTCATACCACATCGCATGAAGTGTCCATTCAATAAAGGTGCCCAATGAAGAAAGGAAATGAGAAGTGAAAGGAATACGTTTTATTTTCTGCAGTGTGTTCTCGCAGCAAGACAGAGTAGAATTAGTTTCTGCATTATTAAAATAGTTGGAATATTTATTGTTTTTCTGTTAACATTTGTTTGGAATACTTTATATTGAGATACTAAAAATGTAAGTTAAATTATGTTATATTTTAATATTTGTAAACTTTTTTTCTTAAACATAACTGATATTTATTATCTTATCTATTATCTAAAATCAAATGGTTTTACAGAGAAAATAACAATAAAAAAGTGGCACATAGCCAAGGAGGCAAATTATCTTAAACATTTATTTATTTATGAAACAATAAAAAGATTTGGGATATTAAAAAATCCCCAATACAGCGAGTAGCTTAAAAGAAACTGGTGTCTCAAAACTATCAATTTCAAAATTTGGTTTATCGAAGAAAAAAACATTTGCAAGCCCAACAATGAATGCGGTATACGAATCTGTTGAAAAAGAAAGAATTGTAACTGCTAAACTATCTTCTTTTAGAAAAATTGTGAAGAAATTAAGATTTAGATGGAAAAAAGTGGAAAATAACAGAAAAATGTTTGTGGAAAAAATGGGACATAAGAACAAAAAAAAAAGAATTTCTAAGAAAACTCAAAATACAAATCTTTAAGATATTTATTCATTAATATTCGTAAAAGTAAAAGAACTCTTATATCAGACCAGAAGATAATGGAACTGGAGGTAGAACTGAAAAACATAAAAGGGACATCATCGGCCTCAGTGAAATAAGATGAAGAGAAGCATAAATTACTGTTAAATCAGGACACATATTTCATCTTAGAGGTGAAAAGACACTTCAAATGATGGAGTAGGATTCATTATACATAGAAAGCACACAAAAAGTATGGTTGATATTCTCAGCTTAAGCCCCAGGATTGTATATCTGATCTTCAAACTAAATGCAAGATATAACCTTAAGGTAATCCAGATATATGCTCCAACAACTACCCACTCGGATGAAGAAATTGAAAAATTTCATGACCTAGAAACACTGTTACATGCCACACCAGCATATCACACAATAATTATTGGCGACTTCAATAAGAAAATGAGGTTTAAATAAGATGATGCAGAAGTAGCAATGGTTAAGTATGGCTATGGCGAAAGAAATGTATGAGTGATAAACTTCTTACACCAGGTAAGGTAAAAGAACACAGCTGACGGAAAAATACGGCTCCAACTACACAACAATAAAGAAATTAAATAAATATATCCACTGATCAATCTAAAAAGAAGTAAGAGAAAACAATACAAGAGAAATAACTATAATAATTCAAGAAAACAATTAAAAGTTTTGGGGCGAAATATGAACAACATAGGCAACAAAAATATGTAGGTACAAAATAAAAAACAAAGTTGGAAACATTACTACTGATAGAACCAAAATCCTTGAGGTTGTCGAATCCTTTTATCGCGAAATGTATGAGAGCACTAACGAAAGGCAAGATCGGCCTTAGCCCAAAATCACAAACCAGGGATTAGAATTAATGCCAGAAATAACTCAGCACTTTTAGAAATGAAAAATAACAAATCCCTTTGCGATGACGGAGTACTGATCGAACCAATGAATTTAGGTCTAAATAAAATTATCCACGCTTTTGCCAAGCTTTTCACTGAATGCATCTACCAAGGTAAAACTCCTTCTCAATATAGCAAATAGCAATGAGACCTACATAATTTCCGAGTTTCAAATGGTGAGATGTTTTCAATCCCCTAATCAATAAATTCCCTAATTTTCAAATCTTGACTAAAAACTGTTAATTATCATGACATAAATTACCACAATTATATGAAATGGTTGAAAGAAATACTTCTTCCCAATTTACATTCTAATTCAGTTTTAGTACTAGACAATGTTTCATATCATAATCTGACCGTTGAAAAATGTCCTACATCAGCTTTAAAAAAATATGTGAGAAAATGGTTGATAGGAATATATTTTTCAAGGAAAGTGAAACAAAACTGGAGCTGTACAATAAGATACTCTGTGCTAAGACTAAAAGCAGAGTACAGCCACATGCTTTTACTTTTACCACCAGATTATCTGGAACTTAACCCGATTGAAAATATATGGGTCATTTTAAGAAATGAAGTGGAGGCACAGAAAAAATAAAAACCACTTTTAAATTAGCAGATGTTTGAGAGATAACAAACACCAGGCTAAATAAAATCAAGCCAAGATATAAGCAAATACCTGCAGGTGTGTTAAAAAACTGAAAAACAGTATTTCAACCAAGAATTCATTAGGGATGCAGCACATAAATTTATCATAAATTTAGAAGATGGTAGGGAGTCTGAAACAGAACTGTCAAGATAGCGAGAATGATGACAAAAATGATATATAAATGCAGACATTTTGCTGAATTTCAAATTAGTTTCAGTTGAGTTTCATCAGTAGGTAATGCGCGATTGTTCCAAATAAGAGAATGTTTCAAACAGTGCACAGTGTAGTGACTAGATAACAGTGAATAAATCCCAGAGGAACAACACTGTGTGAATCCTAGGACCACACTGTGTAAATCCTATGACCGCACTGTGGAAATCCCACGACCAACTCGGTGAGATAAAGCAATTTTCCCCATTTACGATTTCAACTAGAGAAATTAATTCTCCTTATTTATGATTCCCGGCTACTTCTATAAACTTCAATTCAAAGTCCTATTCTTTTTCTATCTATATGTTGATTTGTTATGTATTTTTCTCTGAGAATTTTTCATTTTTTTAAGGGTTATCTATAATCAAAATTGGAGCAATATAGATAGTTAAACAAATTGTAAGTAATTTAATTTAAATAAACCAATGCTCTTGACTCCGTACACAATATGGGTCTTGGGATCTGCTTAGGTGCCTTTAGATCTAGCCCAGCTCAAAGTATGTAATGTGAAGTTAACTGACCGCCACTCTGGTTAAGGAGAAAACATCTTTTTTTGTCATATGTAGCTAGCTTATCAGCCATTCTATATGACAAATCGCAAGCTAATTGGAACACAACCCAGAGTCATTTACACGATATACAACCAATTATACCTTCCGTTTTTCTATTGCTTTTAATTATATGTTCTTATTATATGCCATAAGCTAAATAAAAAATAAACTCTCTGCTACTGACAAGCTTTCTGGTAAAAGTAATAGTGACAGCTAAATGATACGATAAATTTGCAATAATAGTTTTTGCAATAATTATAGAATTCTATGGATAATATAACATTTTTTGATTAAACATCATATTTTACTGGTTAGATGTTGTACATGATCAGTCTATTTCAAGTTTAATGCCTAAATATTTTAGTTTTAGTTTCCCTAATAATGTCTTCATCATATTTTTGATACAATTATATTTGCATTATTTCATGAAAATTATGAAATAGTGACTTCATTTAGTGCCATACTAAATGAAGATTATATGTGTGGTCGGCAGACATAAACAGACAAGTCAATTTTTGTATTTATTAAAATCACCTAAAAAAAATTATCTACCACTGAAATAAAAAAGACAAGTCAAATTTATATCTGTAGTTCCCTATCAAATAGTGATATTTTTCATCCTCACAATTTTATTCATTTTAGAGATGAACCAATCAAGTCCTTTTATTTGATTTAGATCAGCATATACCTAATCAAAATGTTTGACTTGACTGATTAGGTACAGTTATCAGAGAAATTGCTGGCTAGTGAAAAGACTGAGTTGGAACAAAAGGATATTATGTAAATGATTCAGTCAATTTGTAATTTGGGTACTGATTACATAAAGTTTCTCACGTTTCTTATCACTTCCAATGTTTTTGTTAATATTATTATTATACCGCATAGACACATCTAGAAAAACAAAGCGTAAGGAAACACAAAGCTGAGAAGAAATTACAGCGAAATTTAGGAAAAGGTTATCTTACATTACAAGGAAAACCAATATGTTCAAGTGAAGTCAAAGTATTAAGTTCATGCAATGAAATGTAAAGATCGCTTTAATTCAAACAAGTTAAAAAAGTGTTATGATGAATATTGGGGTTTAGATTCGTAGCCAAAGAGAACAACATACATGGCATCCCTTATTCAAGTAAAGGAACCTGCTTCACATCGACCAAGAACAGTGGATCTGAACAAGGTTAAATGCAGGTCAAGAACTTAAGTTTATTCTCTTTTCATAAACAGAAATAAAGAGCTTATCTGTCGTGTTTTCTTAACATTTTCGATTAAAGCAACAGTTTTATTTTAACTATCGCCAGTAAGATACAATCCACAATCGCAAGTACTGATGTAGAAGATAAAAGATGAAAGACACCAACAACGAAAATTAGTGAAGAAAAACCAATAGAAATAAAAAATCATATACTTTCATTTCTATTGTATGAAAGTCACTATTCACAAATGCACACTTCGAAGCAGTACTGACCATCTCACACATAACTTCTATCAAATCTATCAAAACACATCTATCAAAATTTATTCACAGAAATTTAAATAGCTTAACCTTGGATTTAAAAATCCAAAACTGAATACATTTTTTACCTGCAATAAATTATTAAAATTTGTACAGATGACCAGAAAGAAAAACTCTTCAGACCACAAATCCCACCAAATGGAAGTTGATCAAGTGTATGATGAAAAAAGAAAAGATACAGAAACTGCCAAAACTTCCAGATTTAAGGACATACACTTTCAACATACAACAGTGCTTAACACTAGATTTAAAATCATCTGTTGCATTTTATAAGAGACAGCTCTGGATGTTTAATTTAATGGTTCATGAAAACAGTACAGTTAAAGCGGTTTGTTACATTTGGTATGATTTTGTTGCAGGTAAAGTGGCAA